GTACAAAATTATAGGCTAGTTAATTTTGAATTTCGAATAAGTGGGGGTTGCAACTTGACGGAGGTCTGGCCTGGCCGCGCCGACAGACGGCTCACAACAGTAATCGGGTGGATGACGCAACCGCGCAGAAGGGAAAGGGGGAGGGAGGTGTTTTCGTAAATTTCTCTTTACGACGCTCCTATTCGTCCGATTTGTATCATTGTCACGGCGTTGGATTCGGGAAGCATGTCGCCATCGCGCTATAAGCCCACATTTTTTAAGTTGTCGGAAGTTGGAGAACTAATTTCAAATTCGCGTTTTCGCTAGATTTTTGGAAAAAGGTTATCGTAGCGTAAATTCTATTTTAAATAGGCGTCAAATGCCGTTTACAGATCAAAAATCGGACCATTGATTCAGACGTTATCAGTAAAGTAAATTCCTCTGTGATAGTGCTGCAATCTATTGAATTTTCCTACAAGTATTTTTCGGTGAATTTAGCCTTAACGATATGCTTTTGTTTATGTTTGCAATGTGAATGGCCTTAATACTATTTATACAACAATTTCTCTCAGAATTAACACATTCATTAGTTTTTGTAAAAATCATTACAAACCGTAGAACATTTGTTGCGAAAACAAAAGTCTTTGAAGCAAACATCAACACAAATTTCACAATTATAACTGCTTTTCATACAACTAAATCATGTCTCAACATTGACACCTAATACGCGAGTCGCGACGCGGAATGCCATTGTTGCATTCCAAATTTGACATTCTCTGAAGGCTACCAATTTTTCTTTCATATATTTTAAATAGGTTTTTCTGCATGTATGGTACGTTATACATTTTTAGACATTCAATTTTTCGTAAGAAATTAAAATAACCTTTTAAATATTTTATTACACGACGTTTTAAGAACATGCCTTGTTCTCTTCATCAAGTACTCTATATTTTTAATGATTTTTAAAATTCTTATTCGTCTCTGTATATACTGATTATCCCTTATCTTCTTCTTCTTGTAAGGCTCTATGATCTTCAAATTAAAGTCTTGGCCTGCTCAACTATCCTTTTTAATTTTTAATATTCATTTTCCTGATGTCTTTGACATCATCTTACAATATCTTTTGGACTTGGAGTCGCGAATTAATTTGTTGTTAGTTTTTGTTATCATACGAAAAAGTTGGCTGTAAAAATATATAAAGAGCCATACACGCATAAGTATTAATAATAAAGTCAGTCATAGCATAAAAATTTTTTAATAATTTCTAAACGAGTAATTTGAAAACAAGAGCTTGAATGTCAGAAACGAACAAAGGAATAGAAATAATTTACAAATTCTAACTTACGTGTCACACAACTGACTGTAATCACTTTGTATTACGTTCACGAAGCGCTCGATATTCGGAGCGGGTGACTCGGTTTAACGCCATATTACTTATTTTTATATTTTCGAAAAATTCAACAAGACTTAAATTAAAGATTTTTTGATGAACACATTTCATTAAGAAAAAAATATATCTTCTCAATTGTAGTTGTAGGAAGACGACGAAATTTCTTTACACCTTAGGAAAATTACGCATTTTAACGAACATGAGATGCATCATTCTCATAAAAAATCCTTATTTACTAAAAATCTTTATTAAATACGCTATTTAAGGTCCCAATTTAATTTTTTTAAACTACTGTTTAAGAAAATGGTTTAAAGCAAATAAAAATTGCCTCTGTTAGACAAAATGAAACGCAAAATACTCATGTTTTTGAAATTCAACATAACATTATTTTTAGATATTTTTCATGAACACATTTCATATAAAAAAGTGTTTATCTTCGTAATTATAGTTGTAGGAAGTCGCCGAAAAAATTTTGATTTTTTTTCAATTATAAAAAAAATCAGTTTTTAACGGACATGAGACATACAACATTCTCTTAAACGTCCTTCACACTATCCAAAACAATGGAGCCGTTTCTGAGGAGAAAATGATTAACAAAATTAACCAGTGGTGCTAAAACAGCACATACTATCTCGCCCGTATTTCACGCAAACTTACGAAAATAATTCAAAAAGAAAAAAATCTTTACCTTCATAATTGTAGTTGAAGGAATACGCAGCAAAAAATTAAAATTTTTTGCAATATTCGAAAAATGCGAGATTTTAAAGAAAATGAGATTTGCACCATTCTCTTGAAAGTTCATCACACAAAGTTTTTGATAACAACAAAATGTAATCAAAATCTATGGAGCCATTTTTTGACAATTATGAAAATATCCCAGGGGCTGCATGTAAAGAACCCCCAAAATTAAATATCGATTTAAAATTCAAGGGGTCACGTCAGCCTGATCTATTGGGAAATGACAATTTTGGAGAAAAACAGCTGAACGGTTTAGCGCTAGCGTTGTTCGCAAACGGACCGACAGACACGTTTTGCAGTCATTCGATTTTTCGGTATCAAGGCCCCCAATTGATTTTGGGTACACCACATCTTAGAGGATTTTTTTCTTTTCTTTTTCTACATGTAGCAACTGAATTTATTCAATTTTTCGATACCAGGGCCTTGGCCCTTGTAATAAGAGTTTTCTGACGAACATGGGCTGATTTTTCGCGCAGCATTATATAACTTTCTAACACGTGGCCAGAATCCATGTTTTGTGTTCATGATACCGAATAATGGATTAATGGCCAAACGTCTCGCCATCTGTGAACAACGCTAGCAGATAAACCGTTCCGCCTTTTTTTCTCCAAACTTCGATATGGCTGATGTTGCGGCCCCTTGAATTATATTTTAATTTTGGGAGATACTTTACATGAAGCCCCGGGGCATTAAAAAAAACAAAAAACAATCGGTGTTCCTATAACTACAATTATGGAGACGATTGGGAGGCGGTATACATCTATCACTACGTCGATGTCCAATAAATAGCGTATGTACTATAATATAATATCTTAGATTGTAACATAGATTTCAGTTATTTTCAATATTTGGCGCATTTTGGTCCTATAATACTAATATAGTCCTATTAAATACCACTCGTGCTTTAGAAATTCTCAGATAAATCCCATCCTCCCGGGAATTTATCGACAATTTCCAAAGCGCTCGTGGTATTACCTATGATTAACATTTTTTTCTTAACGAAATGTGTTCATTAAAAATAGATCTACAAATAATGTCATGTTCAATTTTTCAAAAGTAATTGAGTAATTATGTGAAATTTTGTCTCACATAGGCAATTATTATTTAATTTAAACAATTTTTCTCTAACAGAATTTTTGTTATTAAATTGGAAACATGTTGACTCTGATCTAGCTAATTACAAATGCCCACATACAAGTGGTACCATTTCAAAGGTAAAATTTAAATAATTATAAATATAAAATACATTCAAAATGTGAAATTTTTTTTTGCAATTTTTAGCATATGTACTATTTTTTTTTTTGCAAAACATTAAAATGTCTTAAGAAAATATAAAAAGTAATTTTAATTGTGAAAAAATAACAAGTCATTGAGTTAATATGTCCATCTGTTTTGTCATCACCACTGTAAAAATTAAAATGAATCTATACGAGGGGTACTCGGAAACTTTCTGGAAAAGCAGGATTAAAAGAAAGAAAATTGGTTCTTACCTTTACAGTTTTTGGGTGTCTCCCCTCCAATACTCCCAGCATCTATACAGCAGGCCATCCTCTGACACTGTTTTTGAAATGCTGCATGCCATTGTTCTTTCAGAAGCTCTGGGTCTCAACATCGGAGAGCATCCTCTGATTGTTTCTTGTTAGACTTTGAAGACAAAGAAGAGCATAGGGCCAGTTTGAGACTTAGGGAGGGAGGTTTAAGCCTCGAGGTTTCCTTATACCAAAAGTATTTGGTCTTTCGAGTCTGATTAGAGAAGCTGACCACCAGTACATAATCTTTGGTTGCCATTTCCTGAATGCTCTTGAGTTTTCAAAGGCAACACAGTGATTTACCAGGGTGCTGACACTGTCCTTTGGTCCTCAAGAGAAATCTTTGTTACTGGATCACTGGCTGAAAAGAATGAACAAACCATTTTCTTCCAATGTTTCATGATCTCTTGGTCTTTGTTGGTGCACTCTCTACATATCAAGACCCAGATTTTCACTTGCTGTTTGGTTTCGGGATAAAATCTGCAGAATCATGTTTTATCCCCAATTACAATGTCAAATTTGCTTTGCGTATCCTTTTTTAAACCTTTGCAACATTTTTTTTTACAATAGTTCACCAGACCTGCTTTTTGTTTTGGAGACAATATGGAATCCATCGACTGCAGACCTTCATAACACCAACATTTTCATGTAAAATTTGTGAAACTGAAGGGGAACGTACATCCAAGGACTCCTCTGTCTGCTGGTAAGTGGAGCATGGGGTCATCCTTCAATATCATCTGCATAAAGATGTTTTCTTCTGTCACCACTGTCAGGTCAAGGTGTGCAAGGCTCATCCACTAGTGACTTTCTACCCCGACAAAATTCCAAATACCATTCATAAACAGTTGATTTTGATGGGGATGAATCACCAAATGCACTTAACTGTTCAAGGCATTTTTTAACACTTACACCAACTTTAGAATCATAGAAAAACATTGCGCGAATCAAAGTGCTCTCTAGACAGATCTATCACATTCCATGGCAAATGAACAACTGTCTGCATTAAAGAAGATATAAATAACAAACCCTTTGACCGATCTGAACCAGATTACAAGGAGACCCTGATAAGACTAGAAAAATCATTGTTGTCCCTGCATATACAAAAAGAATTCCTTCCCATCCACTCTGGAAACTTTCAGAGTGCCATCTGTGTCCATCCCTTTTGCAACTATCAAAACACTGTACGATGGATATTCTCATGTAAACCTTCTGAAGGATACAATATATGATTTTCCAGGCATTAATCACAAACAATAAACAATTAAACAACCAATATTCAAAATATACAATATATTTAATGCAGCTTGTTAAATACATGCCGAATTATATAGCAATGTTTTTCAATTTTTTTTATTAAGTACCTGAAATGCATCAACTCATAATATACCTGTACTTTTTATCTGCTAAAAGAATAGTAATAATCAATGATCGCACTTCTGTTTGGTGGCGTTGGCATATTAGTTTTCCAGTTACAGTGTCACCTAAGAAATATGTACACAAAAAATTAATAAATAAAAAAATTACAAACATTACACCACAATTTTTTCAACAATAAACAACACAAACCTTGTTTCACAAAAATAGGCTCATCCAGAAAAAACACTGTTTGTTTCCAATGTGTAGGAGCAGCATGAGGACCAGTTGAAAAATGTACAGTCTGAGGTAGGTCAAAAAACACATCAAAATATCCTACAAGAGCTGTGAGTGACTCATCTCGCATCACTTGAAGGCTAAATTCTGATGTGAAGTCAAGATTTCCAACAGTACATGTATATAAATCTATCTGCGTCAAAACACTTGCAGTTGTAACAAGCATGTGCTGAGGAACAACTTCCACTGTAGGTTCTCGCACAACTTCCCTTTGAAGGCAGCTCATACGATAGCCATAGACATCTGTCCAGAATCCAATCAATTCTTTATGGCGAACTGCTCAAAGAAAAAGAGGTTTTACATAATAATCTAGCATCATATTTTGGGAAATCAGAGAATTCTTCAATAATAGAAGAGAAGAGAAGTAAGTAGAAGTTTGGATTTAACAACATGATTACAAAATAAATAAGCCACAACCAATTCTACTTTCTTTCCTTCAATAGTAAAAATCAGCAATAGTAAGAACGACAGATATATAAATATTTGGAATTGATCAAAATAATCATAATTACTTTGCATGTCTTTCAAGAAAATTTCTTGTTTGAATGAGTGTTTGCAGCAAGTTTTTAATCTCTCTCCCTCTCATTTTCTTTTTTTTCCCTCCTTTCTTGATAGCATTACTTTTGCCCTGCTTCACAGCTTATGATTAAAATAAATCAAAATACTTTTCATTTTTATCTGTACTGGTACAGTACAATTTTACACATTTATTCACTGCATTAAAAAATGTAAATATGAATATATTTTATAAATGCTAATGGATATACCTAAAATGCAGTAATAAGGAATTGACAATTTTTAAAATTTTATATGACTTTTGGCCATAGTCATTAATTTAGGCTAATTTCAAATATTTAAATGATTATATAGTCATTCAAAATCTCATCTAATTCATTAAAATATTTATTTAAAAAATTATATTTTATTGAAGTAAGTAATTTATTGTCGGTATATATGAACAAGTTGAAAAAAGCTTGATATTAAAAATTACCTGTGTCAGCAAGCCCAACTAAACTGATAGAACAACGATTGGGGAGAAGTAGACCACCCTTGATCATATGATGATCTCTTGCATATATAACACTATCAAGCATAGCTTCAAATAGAAGAAAGTAGCCCATCCATTCAGATACAACTACGTCAACTTGATTTAATGGTAAAACAGTGTCTTCAAGTCGACCTTTCACCAAGGTTATTTTATCAGAGAGATTGTTTTCCCTGAAATAAAGAAATTGGATCAATTTTATGTTAAATATTCCTTACTTTTATATTATACCTTTCATACTAATATGATTGTCAAAAATTATTTATTCGCTCCTGAACAGTTACAAATATAAATTATAGCTTAATTGAATTAATGATAAATTATATGTTTTGCTATCATACTACATTAAAGGTTGGTAAAAAATGTATACAACAGTCATATTTGAAAATTTAATGTTTTGTCTTCAATGAAGTCCAAAAAGTTATTACTAGCATAATAATATCCAAGTGCATATTTACGTAACCAAAATTTACTGACATGTTTTCACTCAATTGTAACTATTAGATCCTACAGAAATTACCATATCTATCAAACAAACAACGTATTGTAACTCTTCAATGATGAAGGGCAAAGAAAAAGAATGTATTGGTGGTTTATTCACAAATACATTCTACCATTTATGTCGTAGAGCCACTTTATTTCCATGCTGTTTTACAATGACATAGCAATGAACAACAGAGCGTAGAACGCAAATGCAATGACATATAATAGAAATAAACTTAAAAGTCCAAAAATGTATATGACAGATATGCTTACGTAAAATTATACAATCAAGGAAAAAAATTAAGACAGTGTATAAAGAATTAGTATGTAAAATATGACAAAAACGACAACTTAATTACATGAATATTGAACTTTGCAGAGCGGACAGTGTGTATGACTACATTTTTCAATTGTAAATAAATTACCCTTATTATTGGAAAGTTAGGAACGTTTATGAGCAAATCAATCTTTCCTAAGGAGGAATATTAGAACTTCTAGTGTGCTCTACATTACACTGAGACATATATATTTGCACTAATATTATTTTCTTTCTGTAGGAGTTAATTTTAATACTTCTCAAAGGAAGTACTGTATTTACCCGAATAGAAGACAAGGACTTTATCCTGTTTTCATCCTTTAAAATTCGGGTGTTGTCTTATATTCATGTGTGAAGAAAACGCAATATCAACGGTATTATGTTGTTCCTGGTAATATAAAAAATATCTTCACAAAGAAATCGTTTGTAATAGAAATTCGTCTTTTTTATTATTATTGGATGTGTTTATAACTGAATTAATAAGATGTAGAATAATTTCCCCAGCCGTTACACAGAAGCATAAGATAGGATTTAAGTTTTTCTTAGTGGCAGTTAGCAGTGTTGTAACAGCTGTAATGTCGCCAAAGCCTTCCTTGTGGCCAACGAGACTTGTAGGCCACGAACCTTCCTTCTCCATCCGCGTCGTTGAGTACCGCGACTTTAGTAGTTATTTGGTAGCCGTGTTCGTGCTTGGTGGTTGTGTTGAGTAGCTGTGTGCTGATACATTAGTGTGGCAATGGCCGATCACGTGGAGAAAAGAGGAAGTATAGAACTTAACAGAAATGTGGAAGGACGTACAAGTTAAGAGGCAAACTTTAAATTACAAGTAATTCATCTCGCTGAACAAACGAACAATAGTAAAGCTTCACACCGTTGGACAGGTACGAAGGAACACCTGAAATCTTGTAATTCCACAAGGAAATATTTTCGTGGACCAGAAGTGGGGCACCATCCCGAAATCGACGATGAAGTTGTCGAATTCGTAAAATCGTAACAAGGGTTTCGGATTTTCTATAAACAGCATTCGCATAAAAGCATTAGAAGTAGCAAGAAGGAGAAACATTTCCAGACAGGAATTCAATGTGAGTGCCGGCTGGTGCATACAGTTTATGAGAAGGAAAGGGTTCAGTCTGCATTGAAGAACTTCCCTATCGCAAAAGCTGCCAGCAAATTATGAAGAAAAACTTCTGGCATACCAAAAGTACATTATACAATTGCGCCATCAACATAACCATTTGTTGAGTCAAATGGGGAATGCCGATGTGACCCCCGTATACTTCGACATGCCTTCTTACAATACAGTGGCTACAAATGGGTGTAAATTCAGTTACGATAAAACATCTAGAAACAAAAAAAATGCATATTACGGTCATGCTGGGAGTGTTGGCAAACGGCAGGAAGCTATCACCATTTGTTATCTTTAAAATGATAAATTTGCCCAAAGAAAAACTACCAAGTGGAATAATTTTTAAATGCAATGAATCTGGGTGGATGACTGAAAGCTTGATGATTTCTTGGCTTCAAGAAGTTACCGGGAGCTCTATTACAATAGAGAGGATTGTTAACCCTTGATGGCTTTAGGAGCCACTTTACAGAAGTGAAAAAGAAAGTTGCTAGTTTAAAAACAGATTTAGTAGTGATAATAGGAGGCATGACCTCACAGTTGCAAGACCTTGAAGCGACTGTGAACAAGTCTTTCAAGTACCAACTCAAACGCCAATATGAAGAGTGGCTGTTATAAGGGAACTTCCCATTAACTCCTGACATCAAAAAAACTTCAGTTGGACAGCTTGGTCAGTGGATTCTAACTGCATGGAATACTATATCAACTCAATGTATAATAAAGTTGGTAATGCTTTCAAAAAGTGCTGTGTAAGCAACAGTCTGGATGGCACAGAAGATGATGTGTTATGGAGTGAGAATGATGGACATGAGTTGAGTGATGATGAAACAAGTGAAGATGATGATTGAGAAATGATTAAATGATGAATGTGGGTGTGGTAAAATTGAAGTTTAATTCATGTGCTGTATAAAATATTGATATGCACAAAATAATTTATGCATAATGTTAACAAACATGTAAGTAATATAGATGTGTTTTGTTTCAATTTCATAACCTAGTAGGAAACTGATATCAAGTTATAAAAACAATGGTCGTCTTATATTGGGGTGTACTTTTTCCCCGAATTTCAAGGTGTAAAAACATTACTCGTCTTATATTCGGGTAGATACGGTAGTTAATCAACAAATAAAGCAAAGTAGCAAAGTACCTCACAATTTCCATTGCATGGTAGATTATATCAGACTGATCAATGCCTATTACACTTGCTGCTTCTGTAGATGCAGCAAACATTGAAAGAATTCCAGTTCCACAGCCCAAGTCGAGAATTGTTTTCCCCTTCAGCGTATCTGCATTATCCATAAGAGCTTTCTTATAGCTTGTAGTTCGAACAACATCCTGTGAAACAGAAACGCATACTTTTAAATTACATATTTAAAACTACTTTATTAATTACAATATATACATAAAAAAATACATATTTACATTACAAAATTAATACATATCACACCAATTATCAATTCATGACTGAAGTTACTCACTGACAACATTTCATGATGTATACTAAAGTGAGCATAAGTACTGAAGTAACCTTCATCCTCAGCTAGACTTCTATTCCCCACACATTTTGGTTGTGAAACACTCAATTCTTCTCCAGCTCCAATTTTCATAAGATTCTGAGTTACTTGTCTCATTCTTTCCATGTCTTCAAGCATATTTTGCATAAGTGCATCTTTCTCTTGGACCTTACAACAAGAGTAAAAACTTTAAAGAACATTCAAACTGAATTTGTTCATCTAAAATAAGCAAAAAAACATACCTCCAAACTAAGTTTTTGAATGGTTCTCTGTAATTCTGCAAAATGTTGCTCTGATAAAGTTACACAACCATTTTCTGCATTAGCGACATGAAATCCATTACCACTCTTTTGAGCAAAAGATGAATCATCCAGATCTTCATAATCTGCAAGAAACAAAGTCTTGATGAGTTAAGATGCGATAAAAATAGGTGTGTGCTCAGTACAGTAGCAATCTACATTAGCATAAATAAAAATGAATGTCATTTATTATTATTATTATTATTATTATTAATATTGTTATTATTTTTATCGATTACTGAATCGTGAAAAAGACTTAAATAGAAGTAGTTTTTAGAAGGGGAGGAGAAAAAAGAAAAAACACACACACACACACACACACTCACTCACACTATGTTTTGTGGCCTCCTGAAATTATATTTTGGTATAAAACAGTTTTATTTTATACATATAAGTGATTGACATTGGTTTATCATTAATTCACAGTTTCTGATACTAAAACTTTAAATTAAGGAATTTATTAAGGAATTAAGGAAATTAAGGAATTAAGTAGTTTTGAGATTTAACTTTCATCATGAATCAAATAAAAAATTAATACATAAACACATTAAATTGTTCTAATTTATTTTAATTAAATTATGAAGATAGCATGATACAATTTATGGAACAATAGTTTTTTAATCACCATATGCAAAATGAGCATAGCAACATCTTACAAGCAATAAATTTCAGCTTGATGATTGTACTTTCTATGTCCTTTTGTTTCCAATGCTTGGTAAAATCATCTTCATGAAACTGGTTGAGCATTTTGCAAATATCCTTAAGTTAGGCTCCATTGATTAGGCATAAACCACTGGGTAAGCTTTTCAAGTAGGAAAATCTGGAAAATGTGGATATGTTGGTTCATAGATGAGAGTATGTTGAAGAATAACTTGGATATATTGATTTACCACTACAATACTATTGAACTGATACGCAGAAAGTATTAATTCCATAAAGGATGATACCACAAAAGTTATTTTGTTCTCTGGGAATGTCCATAGTAGACATTTCTACACAAGTAATGTTTTTTATAACTATGTCTCCAGTTTTTGAAACATTCATCCCACAGTGTCACTTTCCACTATGATGACAATTACAGCTATAGTGGTAATAAAATTCATTCTGTAATATTCCTTGACACACAGTCAATGACTTAATTTGTTTTCCTCTTAACCATACATATTGCTATTCACAAACAAGTAAAGAGCCATCAGATTAAAGTCATTTAGCTACCAAACGATGTCTCTTGCTCACCACATCATTATCACACATTTATCTCAAAACCGACAAATGTGACTCAAGTTGTTTTATTAATTCATTGACTGGTCCCACAAAGTAGGGATGCATTACAAAAATATTCTTTTACAGTCTTGCAACCAAAGTTAGCCTGATCACATAACAGCATTTACTTCCACAATCTATTTCTGCCTTTCTTCCATGGTCATTCAGCCCACTACATTGTTACATGCCTCTAATACATTTTAAATCTTTCAATACTAGATATTTAATTAATGTTGAAAATGGAATGCTAAATCAAAGAAACCAATCTTCAAGAGGTCTGTAAACATCCAAAAAGAATAACAGACATAACATCTGTAAGCATCTAAAAGGCAAGAAAGTATTAATATATTTCACCTCTATGATAAATCACTACACTGTAAATTAGAGCTGATTCATAGGAATTTATTGGGATATATTTTGGAATATATTTATATTATATTTCAACTTTGACTTTTTTTGGGTCCCTTTTCTTAACAACATTCTTCAGAAACTATAAGGAATGTCTTATCCATGCTTGAAAATCAAAATAAGATTATTTGATGTGTTTTTGTCCGGGGAACATTTTGAAAAGGACATGAAAGCTCAAGAAGACCACACGAGTGAACAAAATATGCACAACAATTACTATTTTTCATAGCAAGAACTACCTTTTTTTGGTTTCTACCAAGAAAATTCTCTAATCATATGTAAATGTAGAAATATGATTGCATGTTTTTTACTTCCTCATATGTATGAGGACTAAACTTTTGGTGGAACGCAACAGAATGGCATTTGGGAACTTCAAGAATAATTATTAAAATATATTATAAATATATCAGTTTCTATTAAATAATTAATTCATTTGGGGCTTGTTCTGAGACCTAAAATTTTATTAGTCAAGCACTGTTCGTAATTATACACGGAGCATAACATGCAGTATAGAGAAAGTTAAGTAATTCTGCAGAAAATCAATTTCAAGATTTCAACGGAAATACACGTTTTGGGATTCCCTGATATCAAATAAGTGATGTTTCTTTTCAAGATCAAGATCAATCTGTGTGTTTGTCTGAACAACACTAGCACCTAAACTATTTAAAGGATGTTTTCTAAAATGGATATCCCCTAATTGATCTGGCTGGACACAAAGCCATGTGAATTTGAAAAACATTCTTTAAATTTTGGGGGTACTTTCAATGAAACTCTTGGGACATTTTCGAAGATTTTTCAAAATGGCTCCAATTTTTTTTACATTTCTTGTAAGAATAGAGTAATTTCGGGTTAAAATCACTGTTAACACTGATATTTCAAAAACTGCACAGGTTTGAAATTTTTTGGGGTTTTCCTACTTCTAGAATATTAAAGATAGCAACTTTTCCTTCAAAAATGTTTTCTTTAAATTTTTCATAAGGATTGTGTAAAATGTACAGTATAAGAAGAGAAATGCCATTTTGCTCTATTCGTTTGCTTTTCAAAAACTACAAAATTCTAATTTTTTTGACATCTCACTCATACTATTTAGACTAGTGAAAATTTGTACACATTACTGCATTTACGAATATTACTGCATTATGCATTTATGAGTACGTGTGCTTCAAATAACGTCTTATAAAGTTTCTCAAAAACTCAAAAGCTTTCTGTGAAAATTAGGTCAAAATTCTGCATTATCAGAATCACTCATACACCCTCACCAATTTCTTAATAACAATTCTAATTTTTTCTTCAAATTTTGTGAATGGATAGAGTTAATTGAACTAAACAACATGACAACAATGCCACTTTGATGTATTCTTTTGGTTTTAAAAAAATACCCAAATGTATATTTTTTTTATATCTCTTATGTCATTAATATTTATATTACTAGCAACTTGTATACATTATTGCATTTGTGAATCAAAGTGCTTCAAATAATTTCCAATGAAGTATATACAAATCTTAGAAGTTTTCTAAGAAAAAGAACTTCAAATTTCACGTTTACAGAAACACTGAAACATTTTCTCAAAAATAGCTCCAAATTTTTCAACCACATTTCTATATAGGATGAGGTTTTACTCTTGTATAATATTCTTCATCTCATATCTCAGATATACCAGTTGGGGACTGGAAAATTGATAAAACGTGAAAAATACACTTTGGGCGGTGTTAGATGGCAACTGGGAAGATGGTGAGACCAAACCAAAAATCTAGCCCAGACCAAAGAAATTAGAAAACTTGTACAAGAAAGTGTGTTCCATTCTGTAGCTCCACTAGTTTCATAATTGTATCTTAACTTTGAATTGCATACTTAGGAAAGGTTTAAAAAGTCAGAGATGAACTTGGATTTATCAGAAACTCTGGTTGAAAGATAAATCCAGAGAAAACTGAAAATTGGTTTACAGCAACATACTAGCTGAAAAATTTGACTGGCATTTAAAAATTGAACATTTTTTTCATTTCTTCAGATGATCTGCATACTGTTATTTTACAACATTCATAGAGCTACTCAACACTAAACAATTGCTTCTTTGGCATCTTTAATTTACATGTCGAACAGATGGAAGAACAGGCAAAAAGAAAGGAATACAGATATCTAACAAATGACTTTATACTTAGGCAAGAAAAATATTAAGTACTGGAACTCAGAATACAATGATGACCATAAATATGTAAATCCATTAGAGGAAAGCAGTTTACAACTATCCAATCCAGGAAAAGAAGCGAGATGTCACATAAGTGTCATGAAAAAAAGAAAACTCAACAGCATATTGGTAGTTCCTGCTAAAAAAATGTGTATTAAACATTGAAATAGTCACAGAAAATGTTAAGAACTTACTTAAAAAGTAACAAATCGTTACACTATTTTGACTGGTTTTAAAATAATTCAATTAATATTGCACAATCAATACCAGTAGCGGGAAGAGCGAATGCAATGTCTTATGGCTAGAGCTGCCATTGATTAGGTTGCGGGTTCAATTTCTGCCAGGGACCAAAGATTTGCCTGATGTTTTTAACACTGGTGTATTTGTAGCACCTGTCACAATCAGAGTCATAGGCCAAGGATCAGTAGGTTTCCAATGTTTCCAGCACTGAATGTCAAAGCAGCACTATACAAAATAGACCATGAATTGTGTGCAACATACCTTTCCCTATTATATTCCCATTCCCATTCTTAAGCCAAGTGATGAGTTGACCACCTATCCCTGTTTGGTCTATCCCACGGAACTAGGAAACCTCTGACAGGTGTCTGGAGAGATCATGACCTGAAACCCCTGTGAAGTATCCTAAACCCTACCCCTTTCCTAATTCCTTCCCAATTCTGGCCAATGGGTAGTGACGCATGGGATGCATGATGTAAAAGGCGTGTACACAGAGATGCTACCTAGCAGTCCTCTTGACTACTGACCGACTCATGACACATACATAAATGCTGCGCTCTCTGGAATACAAAAGGTGCTGATAAGTAACGAATATTAATGAAGGATTAATCTTGAAAAGCACTCAATGCTCGACCAGGGGCTAAGAGATATGTTATATCGATTAATAATGAATAATTAGGATTGCATCACAACAAATTAAAAACTTTCTCACTCACATAAATCACATAATTGAAATAAAGATCATAGAACAAGCATTTAACAATCAAATAAAGCCTTTGAGAACTATTGAGTAGGATTATCAACAAGACAAATGGATTCTCCTTATGCTTCAATGATGAGGCAATAACTCAAAATTTCTAATCAAATTTCTTTAGAATGATTTTCAACACCTCTCAAAAACCACTACAAACACATTATCCAATCACTCATTACCTTTTTCAAATACTTTAAATTTCTTTTCAATAAAGTCCATTGTGAGCACACTTGGCAGAACCATCACAATACACACTTGCTAAGAAAATCTGATTCAATAAAAGTTGCACAAGACATCTTTGCAACATTCACATGTTCTTTTGCTAATCCGCTTAGATGATTTAAACAGAATAGAAGAGAGTTCACGATTAATAATATCTTTTCAAAATCCAAGAACCCTTCTACATATCTTTCAGCAAATACCCTTTCTTTCAACACATCTAAACTCAACAAGCAATATATTGTTCAGCCTATTCTCCTTCCACTAAACAAATAACTTCTCGTTCAATTGATTTCATCCCTCTCTTATGTTTCCAGCATTCATGTCAGGACATAACCTAACATGCATTTTATTTTGACTTCAAATTTCCAAATTATTAAATCGAAATTGCAAAATCCATGGATATATCGGTTAAAGTTTAGTAGACGGTACACCCTTAGAGAAGCGTGGCTTAAGCCCTAATTACTTTACGTGCTCTAAAAGAAATGAGTAAAATTTACGAATAGGAGATTTTCAAGGTTCGCTCTTTATATGCTTTGTCCTCGCCGCATTTCAACACCAATTTACTTTAAAAGGCAAGTTCTCTCGCTTCGCTCGCCCGGATCCAAGTCATGGCGAGGCTCCGGCCTTCAGCTCTTGTGTTCACTATAAACATCCTTGAGTCTATCCAATGCATAATAACCAATTCACTTTTATAAGAAAGGACTTTTCAAGAAAGCCTCCAGAATTCTAACAGCCTAGTTAACGCCGGAACGGAGCGAAGTGCCGATTTAAACCACTTCCTTAGGTTGTACTGCATCCTACATTTCAGCCTATATTTCTGGTGTTTTATAACAATAAGCTCATAATATAATTGAAAAATACAAGAAATGAAAATAATAATGAAATATACATAAATTCTAATCATATCTTCCCCTTATGGCTCACGAAGTACATCATTAACATATAAGTATGCAATAAAAAAATTAACCAACAAATACACAGCAACATTTAAAATTTCATATTCCTTTTTATCTACCATGATTATTTCAGGGATTAGCCTTCACACACTCTATACCATTAAATAACTGAATATTTTATTAGCATTAGCTCACATACACACCATGCATTAACCAAGGATCATCATCTTGAATTGGCTTCATATATTCTTCTTTCTCCCAAATACACTCTTTGGCACTCATAATAAACGAAGATTCTGGGTGATGTTTCCTGATATAATTAATGAGTTTGATGAAGCTATAACAGTCCATATCAAAACGATTCTTCAAAATAACTAAGTCAAAAGCATGCTCTTTTTTGCAATGTTCTATAGCTTCCTGGATTTTCAAAAATGTTTTTTCACAAAATAAACATGTAGAGATCTGCTCATCAGCGGTTTCAACTTCATTCCAATCTAAGGATTCGTCATCATCCTCATCTTCACCGATGTCACATTCATTTGGACATAAGTCTGGTATATCTGAAAACATATATCATCTGAAAGATACACACATTGCGATATATTGCGGGGTAATACAAGACTTTCCTTTTCTTCAAGAGCTTATAATGAAACGTCAAACAAATAAAATCGGGCAAAGAAGTGAGTCTCATACATTAATATTTTGGAAAAGGGGCATATAAATAATAAATACATGATACAACCACCCCCGTGAATTATGATTTACCTCCATGAGCAGCCATTTTAAGAAACAACTTCACATCTATTACAAAGCAGTAGGTGTAACACTTTCACTGAAACAAATCTTGACAATTACATCGATTTTACTAAATAAAAATTAAGAAATGCCACTAAAGAGCTTAAAAACAAGTTGTAATAGCGATGCTGATATATTTGGCAACTCTTAACTTCTACATTCGAATGAAGTACTTGAGAATATTTATTGAAAGATTGTTGAAGTTGGTGAACATGACTTCGTGGTCAGAAACAAATGACTTTCCCACAGCGTATTCTATTATCATATGTTGGAGTTACTGAGCTGATCTCGCTCGAATAGTTGTTAAATGCCACGTGATCCAGTGTGTGATGATAATCATCGTGACAAAAACTAGACACTGATATATGAGTATTGCACTATTTGAATACATTTCATTAAATCATCTGTAATATTTTCTTTGTTTGAAGTTGTACATAATAAGGTAAGGTGTGTGATCTGTTCTAATTTTGATTAGGTTATGTTATAACCTATTTAATATTTTTAAGCGTTTGCAAAACTAACACGAATTTTTTTCCTAGGTCAAAATGGCGAAAACAAAATCAGCACCTGGACCCCCTCGAAAACAAGGATTTAACCGTCATAGTCACAGTATGAATCCAGAAAGAAAAAAGGAAGATTTAAAAGGTGTTGCTAACCCACGAACTAAATCCACTATAAAAAGACTACAGATGTATAGAAATTTTAAGGCAAAAAGAAATAGGCGTGGAGAAATCATATCACCAGCCCCCTTTCAAGGGAAACTTCCATCAGGAACTATGGCTCGCGTAGAACCTAACCAAAAATGGTTTGGCAATTCTCGGGTCATATCTCAAGACGCTTTGCAAAAATTTCAAGAAGAACTTGGAGTGGCTTTGAAAGACCCTTATCAAGTAGTAATGAAACCATCTAAGTTACCAATATCACTTCTTAATGAGAAAGCAAAATTTTCAAGAGTTCATTTGCTTGAGACTGAAAGTTTTGAAAGTGTTTTTGGTCCAAAGAAAACAAGAAAAAGACCTAATGTTAAATTTTCAAGTTTGGAAGCTTTATCTAAAAATGCGGATCATTCCTTGGAAAAATACTCTGTAGAAAAGGATAATGATCTTGTAAGAGAAGATACAGGTGTAAAAGAAAGTGTTCGAGAATGGATCATGAGTGCTGGTTCTAGTAAACGAATATGGAATGAATTGTATAAAGTAATAGATTCCTCTGATGTAATTTTGCAAGTTTTGGATGCCCGTGATCCACAAGGAACAAGATCATCTCATATTGAAAAATTTTTAAGGACGGAGAAGCCTCACAAACACTTAATTTTTATATTAAATAAAGTTGATCTTGTCCCAACTTGGGTTACTCAGAGATGGGTTGCAATACTGAGTTCAGAATATCCTACTGTAGCGTTCCATGCATCACTCACACATCCATTTGGCAAGGGTGCTCTTATTAATATTCTTAGACAATTTGCAAAATTACATATTGACAAGAAACAAATAAGCGTAGGATTTATAGGTTATCCAAATGTTGGTAAAAGTTCTATTATTAACACATTAAGATCGAAGAAAGTGTGTAATGTGGCTCCTATAGCAGGAGAAACAAAAGTGTGGCAATATATTACATTAATGCGAAGAATATATTTGATTGACTGTCCTGGAGTGGTATATCCAAGTGCTGAAACTGATACTGAAAAGGTTTTGAAAGGTGTTGTTCGGGTAGAACTTGTACAAACACCTGAGGATTATATCCCTGTTGTTTTGGAAAGGGTTAAAAAGGAGTACATGAAAAAAACCTATAAAATTAATGATTGGGAAAACGCTGAAGACTTTCTTGAAAAACTTGCATTCAGAACAGGAAAATTACTGAAAGGAGGGGAACCTGATGTTGGAGCTGTTTCTCGCATGGTTTTAAATGATTGGCAAAGAGGGAGATTACCTTTCTACATTGTGCCAGCTGGCTTTGAAGAACCGCTTTCCAAATCTGAAGAAAATTCAAATGATAATTTCAATTCAAATTCTGTAAATGAAGATAGCAAAATGGAAGATGCTTCTTTAGAAATAAATCTACCATTAGATCATTTGGAAAGTAATGTAGAAAATAAAACTAGTGAAAAAGAGATAGATGAAAAAGGAGTTATAAATTCTGAAGATCAAGAAACTCAAAAAGTTAGTGAAAAAGATTCTTTGCAGATGTTTGTATCGCAAGACTTTCAAAAAATTAAGGTTGGACTTCAGTTCACTGATTCAGAAGATGTGCGCCTACAGGAAGAAATGTTTGTTAAAATTAAAGCCAATGTTGCAGATGATTCTGATGTTTCAGGTAGTGGGGAGGAAAATGACAGTATGGATATGAATAAATCTAGTAACGAAGATATCATTGAAAATAAAAATACAGAAAATATAATTCAAAATGAAATGGAGTGTGTTGTTACAGAAAGTAGAACTCAGAACAAACTGTCTGAACAAATAGATGAAAGTTCTGATTCAGACATGGAAGAAAGTATTGCCAATTATTTAGGAAAGTCTCTTAAAGATGTGGTTTCTGTAATGCATACAAAAAGTGGTGTATTCAATGTATCTGACCTGAGAACAGAAAACGATACATCAAAGAATGAATCAATGCCAAAATTAAGCAGCAAAATGAGGCGGCGGATTGAGAGAGCCCAAAGGCCTAAGAGGGTGGGTAGCAATTTCTATGCAACAGCAAATGTCAAAAATAGAAATAGAAACAAGAAGAAAGTGGATTGAAAACTATTGGAACAATATAATTGTAATTACAAAATAAAGTGTTGAGTTTCTTTTTCCAAGTCTGGTGTATTTATATATACATTTTTTATTTAAAAAACCTTTCTGTTGATTGTAGTATTGATATTACAGCTTTGTCGCTCAGCGCCACCATTTACATTATAATTTCGTTACATTATGTTAAAATTTCTTAAAAAAGATAAAATTGAATTAATAGGTAAACTACATGCTTCATAAAAGTAGGAACTTAGTTAACTGTTTTGTTGAGACTGTACTTCATAGTCTAGGTACGATTATCACTTCTTTACATGGAGGGAAAAGGAACATTCATCACAATTTATGATGCATTCTTCTAAAACGTCTGCTGCAAAATTGTAAGTACCACCACACCTACATGGATAGGTAAACATTCCAGTTTCTTTGTCAATTTGAAGATCTACGAATGGTACTACAGCGTATATTGGGGGAGCATTATACATCTGTTGCTTCAATTTTAAGTCGTAAGCTTTTTTCATAGTTGGATCGCGTAACGTCTTCCACGCTTCGTCTATTAGCAGAAAAACTTCAACATCTGATGTTTTGTCCCTGTCGGGATGGTGTAACCTTGCTAATTCTTGGTAACGTTTCTTCAAATCTTCATAAGTCGCATTTTGGGAACACCCCAGTACGGTGTAATAGTCTGTCATTGTATATTCACCCTACTGGTTTCTACTTTTGCTTCTCTTGGGATTGACAATTCACACGTGTGCTAATTGGCCGATCCACAGTTCACAAAGTAGGGTTAAACTTCGAAACTGCACACACGCAACCACATAAAAGAAGAATCATCCAATCATAATTTCTTAACTTTAAAAGTAATTTGGCACGGTTTATGTCGAATCAATAAAGTTTTCATAATAAAACTATTGCCACGATTAGTATTTTTTGTAGTTCAGAGAACTCAATTAAAGTCACTTTTTCCTCTTCAGATTCAATAAAATTAATTTCTGGAACTATCAAATTACGCACGCATATTAGTATTTCTCTCCGCCAAACACTACCGAAGGCAAGGGTTCAGAACACAGTGCTTTTCTAAAATTTCGCTTTCTATATTTCTCATCATATCCTCCAGATATGATATAGGACGATTTATTTAGTCGTGCTTTTGACAAAAATCTGCTATTGCGGTTTTATCCAATCGGCAGCTTATATGTCGCTACAGTGACATCTCTATGGAGACGTTTAAGCTCCCGATTGCATGAAACCGTGAACAGTTGATTTACATCAAGTCCATGGTACGCAAATCCTAGTATACATTTCAGCTTTTATTCTTTGATCTCCTGCAATGTTGGCATCTATTGAATTCAAATTAGGGAACTCAAACATTAATTGAAAATTACATGCTTTGAAAACGCGTCTTCGTTATTTAGATGCAGCAGAAAACATATATTTAAAATTAAATGTGCGATTTGATTGCACCGGCTAATCATGTTTCAGGATGGCCGGAACACTCAACGTAAAAGGGTTGGCCACCTTCTCCCATATAAAACCCTTCTATTTGCGTACGTTGATATACGAAACAAGTGACCATTGGATAATTAAATAAGACAAGGCGAAGCTCCAAATCTAAACGCGCATTTGCGTAGGAAGTATGTTTCCCTTGTTGCAGTTTTTAAACGGGTTGGTTGATTTTTAGTCTTTATTTCAGCACAGACGTAAGTGAACGATTGCCCTGTGTTAACGTTCTATAAGCTGATGAAATTGAGATGACTCAGGTTCAATGTAATTTTAATTTTTTGTACTTGCGTACCGACGTTAGGTAGAACCGGGTGGCTGTAGCTCCGAAACAATCGATATAACAATTAAATATTATAGTGTATAATTGTTCATGTGTTTCAAGATTTGAAAGTGTAGGTTGCTCTGCATTCTATGGGCAATTATTAAGCGTGAAAGTTGGAGCTTGTCATCGTAATTTCAGGTTCTGGCAAACTATTGTTTATTATTGTGTTTTCACGTCTGCTTAAACCAATAATAATATTTACCCTAATATGTCTTTTGCCTCTCAACAATGGAAAACAAAAAGTTGGTTTACAGCAGAGAGCCTACTGACTTTGTGAGTACTAAAACAGTTATCCCAGGATTTGATATACAATTGTTTACATTTTTGTAATAACTTTAAAATTTTAGATCAGTTCATGCAGTTGCATCATGTTTATGTTTGCATTTGGACAGTCTACAAAATTTACCAAAACATCTGAAGTCCAGGATTTTGTCAGTTACCATAAAAAGAGGATGTTTAAGCAATAGTGCTCTTAAAAGTTTAGTGCATGCAGACATTTTGGAATTAGATTTAAGTGAATGTCCTGTTTGTGACGAAACATTGCAAATAGTATCAGCAGCTCACAGTTTGCGTAAATTAGACATCAATCCTGGTCGCAATCAACGTAGAAACATCAGTGCTGATGGTTTGTCCAAAGTCATTCTGTCATTTAATGAAGTTAAAAATAATTTTACAGTTTTTGTTGATTACCTTTCTTAATTACAGCTCTAAAGAACTTATTTCCAAGTGTACCTCATTTAAGTATTCTTTATATGAGGCGGTGTGATGGTGTTTCGGATGATGTTATAAGCACTCTCGTAGAATGCTGCCCTCTGCTTCGAGAACTAGATGTTGGAGGATGTGTAATGATCTCTGATCATTCCTTGAGAAAACTGAAAGATTTAGAAAATTTAATCTCCCTTAATGTTTCATCATCACAGGTATATGTTTACATTTTAGTTGTTCAATTTTTAATATTAATGAAATACTTGCAGCATTTTTTTCAAGAATGCATTTCAAATAGGGGTACATATAATTTAATGGTACAAATTAATTTTTATTGTGGATTTTATTTAAGAAAGAAAAGAAAACTGAGTACATTTGTACACTTTGCTTGTTATATTTTATAATTGTTTTGTATATTTTATACTTGTTTAAATTATAGGTTGAGTGCTGTAGTTGTTTATTTTGTAGAAGTATCAGCCCTGTTTTCAACATTAGCTAATATACGATATATTGAATTTAGGTCATTTCTTGTGTATTTGTTATTAATAAAAGAAATCGAATTCCCCCCAATTTTTAATGTTGTTTATTTATCTCTTAGGTGAGTGATCATGGGATATTGGCTTTAGTAGAAGGAAATTGTGCAGAAACACTGACTGAATTGAGGCTCGATTCCTGTCAAAGGATTACAGATTTTGCAATTGAAACTATAGTTTTGTATTGTTCGAACATGAAAGTATTGATATTCCATGGCTGTCCTGTCACAGGTAAGTAATGCAACTTCTTTTGGCAACTTTGTTAATTATTGATACATTGTCACAGGACTTTCTTTTCAGCTCATTTGAAGCCACATTGGACCAATTCTGCTATGTACACACTAGATACATTTTGGCCATAATCTGAGAGTACTCTTTTCATGAAGAATATTTGTTGCCAATATTGAATTATTTAACTGTCTTCGGAAATAATATGGGTACGATACATGCTTTTTGCAAAATTTTGTCCTTGAAGCTTTAAATAAAATTATCATAATGTGTTTAATGTGAGCTGCAGTAATGCCTCAGCAAATTGGAAATAAGCTTTAGCTCTTTGGAAAAGTAATAAATGCAGCATATAACAACCTAAGAAACATTGAAGTAAAAGAAATTATGGAAAGAATGCAAATCTTATGAGACTGATATTGATCCAGAGATTTTTAAACCTAATATCAGGTCAGTCTGGAAAGGACAAAATGAGCACAAAAAAGGGGGAATATCAAGATGCAAATTCCTCTCTGCTTTAATTGGAAATAGTAAAGACATCCCCCCTCCTCCTTGACACCTGAATAGGGCTTGGAGGAGAATAATGTCCTCTGGTAGGCAGTAACAACTTTTAGTGTCTCAGCCAGTGAAGTGGTCAGCATGTAATCAACTTAAGTTCATGTACCCCCCCCCCTTTTTTTTCATTATAAGTATAAATATTTTGAAATTATTTGGTAGTGTATAATAGAAGGAATGAATTGAATTGGAAGCAAATTTTCACATTAACAAGCACAGGCTGCTATAAGTTTATTAAAACGTATACTGAATAGTTTTACTGAATGAGAATTTTATAATAGCACTGCCCCCAATTGAGAGTGGGTCCAGTGCAGAAGTGACATTTAGATCAAAACATTTAGAAACCTAAAATTGCTTTTGCAGACCTGTTCCTCTCCGCATAATAACCCTAGAGTTACTAGTGGAAGGTTAACATCTGAAACCCACTTATGATTTAAATATTCAAATTAGATAAAATTTTATTTGAAAAAAGGCCTTTCTATCGAAACACAGATCCAAAATTTATGAAATAACTCATGGTTGTGGAAAAATGCCATGAAAACAAATTTCACAGAAAAAGAAATGATTTTAAAACAATTTATTAGCAACAGCATTTTCAGCTAAATTGAATATTTTCTAAATTTGGACTTTTCTAATCTTTGATTGGTCGTCGCCTTAGAAAAAGCAGCCAAATCGGTGTTCCTTCTTAATTAAATTCGCTATTATAATTAATTGCTTAATAAATAAATACTATAAATGTTAATTTGTAATTCTTTTCATCCCCCCAAATTTTTTAATACTTCTTTGTAAAATTTACAATAAATTATTTGATTTAAATAATTGAAACCCTGATACGTATCAAAAAGTTTGATAAATCTAACCCCATGATGCAATTTAGAGTTTGTTGTAATTTGAGTCTTCAGTCATGCAGTATTTTAAGCCTTAGTGCCACAAGTTTAATACATTAGGCTTTTGACAAATGTAACAGGTTTTGTTAATAATCTTAAATAAATATGCAGGTCAATTTTTCCATTTAGAGGCAGGTTTGAAGGTTTGTTTAAATGACCAGCTATGTTAATTTATCGAAATCCTCCCAAACATTCCTGTATTGCTAGAGTTAATATAAATATTTTAACTTTCTTTTCCAGATGCTTCAAGGTTTGCACTGGAAGAATTGCTTTCTAAGTCTAAAGTGAAGCAATTAACATGGACAGTATATTGAAACAACTCATTTCCAGCAAGATGTGTATTTATTATTGATACTGTAAATAAAACATTTTGTAACTTTCTTAAATAATTAATTCTGATCAGTAACAACTCATGCAAATATTAACATTCTATACTACGTCAGGAATGCAAATTACTCTGAATTTTATTTTCAAATTAAGTTCCTTTTAGGCTCTCTTAGCAGCAGGAGGAGTCTGTTTCAGTTGTAGAATTATAGAGCGCATTCGAGAGACATCCTTGCTAGTTTTACTGGATTTCGGATTGAAATCGCACAGCTTAGCAATTCGTTCCCACTCTGTACCAGGTTCGATTTCATCTGTCTCGGCAACAAATTGTTTCTCAGCATTTCTGAAAAAGTAAAAGTTGGTGTTAGAACAGAATGATTGAGGATATAAAACCATTAAATTTTTAATAGTTTCTCAACTTACTTAGCTGCTTCCCTGAGAAAGCAATGCAAACAAAAGACATATTATAAACATATAAACTGCAATGTTTCTTTTATACACATGAAATCTAGAGCGTCATCAAAATTGATCATTTCACAACAATCATTTACAATGTGTAAGAAGTGACCTGGATAGTTATGATCACTAAAACATTAACACGGTGGCCATGTTGTTTGTGCTATGGTATTGTGACGTTTTCATAGCCTTACATTTTCTGTATCTTTCCTGATCTGCCTATGTGGCTTTGCCAAACCAGGTTCCTTATGGTCTGAAAGGACAGAATGAAGGTACAACCTAGGTCGGCAACAGTCCCCCACCGGTTCTCGCATATACAGGGACTCAGGGATGCACTATTAGATTAGAAGTTCGATTAGAAGATCGAAAATTCATGTTGACAATATGTATACCATATAGGTGTGAGAGTTTGGGGGGACAACGACCATGGTATGTGGCCACAGAGATTACTCTCACTGGGCTGGGTCTAAAGGTAACCCAAATCCACTTTAATATGTAGTACTCTTTTACTGAATTAAATACTAAACAGATTTCTTCAGCAACTGAAGGGATATGATTTGGATTTGCTTGTACACTTAATACACATGGCTTTATAACCCTGAAGCTGACAGTGGGATGTGTGAAACTAAGGGATGCATGATTTTTCTTCCTCCAGGATGCACGTATGGTTGAATGCGTGTCATACATAAATAGGTGATGTGTTCACTAGGTTGTGCAGTGTTCTCCCATAAGATCACTATCCAGATTTGAACAACACTTTGCAGTGAATTTTCAAGGTTGTGAACAAAAAATCCATTTTCAAGAACGAAATGTACATTTGAAATACTCCTAATTTTGTCTAACTATGCCATTGGAATCTTTCTCTCTTTAATAGATACTGGTTGATTCACCTAAGAATTTACATTTTGGTTGAACATATGCAGAATAGATCTGTGCAAGACACTTCGATGAGGATTTGCCAGGAATTATTTCCATTAAAGTGACTACTCAAACGGTTCAAGGACAGTATTAAATACACATGAAAAAATGTGCAAAATGCAACTAGCAAAGAAACACACTTATGCTGGTATGCACTGGACAGTAAAGGGACTTGTGAGTAGGAGGCAGGGAGTGAAGGCATTGTAAGAGAAGATGTGGAAAAAAAGCGGACTGAGTTGTGAAAAGTGTACAAAAGTTTATTATTTCAAGAACTATTAAAATACTGTGTCAAGATTAAAGCTTTACATACTCCTTTGAGGAAACGATTCAAGGTAGATTGTACATAAAATTTATATTTGAACAAGAGAAAGTGAAGTACACAAAGCAAGGTTAGGATGAACATCGTCAGCAATTAGCATAGTTTGCGATGCAATAAAATTTTGATAACACAACAGATGCACAAGGAGTATACAGAGGATGCATCTAAGAATAATGCCTGTTTACAACTGTTTGTGGAATCATTAAGGAGATTACAGGAGCAAGTAGGACTTCACACGTCTGCTTCACAGGTGAAACCGGCAACACAAGCTAATATTGCAAGAGGCAGCAATACACTTATTACTGGTTGAACTCAGAATGTACCTTGGCTACAGCCACTGGATGTCAAAACAGGAGGCATATATGAAAACTCAATTTTTTAAAGAAACGTGGTTCACCTATTGTAACGCCACATGTATTGACATGTGGCCTCATGACCGAGAACCTCAAAAAATATTGTTTTACTATCAGTGATAGGAGCTAAAGCCAGAGAAAAGAAAAAGAAAAAAAGAAGAAAGTATTCGTATTTTCACTTGAAGGATGAAGAAAAACCACCACTGATAAAGTTTTGAAACTAATTGGTGAACATTTGATATCAGAGAGAAATTGTTTATATGACCGTTTCATACTTCATTATTGTAATTAGTCAGAGGATGAATCGTTCAATCTTATTTTCTTAGAGGTATCTATCTATAAGAAAAACCCACGAGCTTTGTAGATATAAAGGAAATGTCACATATGACTATGTTGCGAGATCGATTGGCTTTCGTTATTAAAGATTCCAATTTAAAGAAAAAGTTCTGAGAATTCTGACAAATTGAGTGGTGAAAAGCTAGTTCAGATTTTTAAGGCCATCAAATGTTCAGAGCTATGTCTGATGAGTATTTATAATTAAGATAAAGCAGTACACAAAAGATCTCAGAAATGCCTTTCAAGGCTGAAAAAGTGTTTTTAACCTTAGATAAAAAAAGAGTATGATAGATAAAACCTAAGAGAGGAGAGCAGTATGCTCAAGACCCTTTGGACCCCTGTTGAGGAAATATAAATGGCTGAGGCTCCGTTTTGGAATATGGTTTTTAGAAATTTTTTCACAGAATATGCTACAAATTAATCAGGATTTGAGAGGTGTGGAAATATATTAAAAGGTTCCCCAAATTACAGTTATGATCTCTGAATAGAAATCATAACCGTAATTTGGAGAATCTTTAAATACTATTAGAAACATCAAAATACAAGATCAGCAAAGATAAAACCAATTGTGCCAAACATCTGTAAAATTTTTTGACCACATTTTGACAACTAAAGATGTACAACTGACCCAGATAAAACAAATTCAAATACAGAAATGCCTAACCAAAATGGCAAGACAGAGCTCCTTTGTTCAAAGAACGATTTGTGAAAGGAAAAGAAAATGTGGTTGCAGATGCTTTGTCAAGGGCATTTGTTGTTAATAATTATGTAAAGGAAAAACCAAAGTATACAAATATTTTTGAGCTGAAAAGAAATTTACCTATCTTTCAAGCATCAGAGAAGATAGATATGGAGAAAATGTTGCAGATATCATCTGAGGGAGCTGAGGAAATTAGATCATGCTCGAAAAAGGATTTAACACTGTAGAAACCAGTTGATTATACCCAAAATTGGCCGAGATTATTCTGAAGTAGAAGATTCTTTTAAACTATTTAAAAAAATACAAGGATAAACTGATGACTTAAAAAGATACTGACATGAATGGCAGAATATGAATCCCCCTTTCATTATGAAAAACAATTTTTGAGGCATTACATATCACTCATTCTAGAATACAAGCAACTCAAACTGGAAAGGGATACAATTTTTTGGCCAGGAATGAAGTCCAAACAATATCCTCCACTGCAACCGCACGAGGTACCAGAATATCCATTCAAGCTTTTTTCAATGGACATTTTTTGTTGCCAAATACAAGGGGAAAGAAAATGTTTGGTTACCGTGGAATTTTATTCAGATTTTTTGAGCTACAAAATCTATGAGCAGAAACATTAGTTAAAATTTTAAAAAAATAATTTTACTGGCCATGGCATACCAAATCAAGTTTGCAGTGACAATGGGACAATAAACTAATGCAAAGTTTCAGCAAAGCTTGGGATTTTGAGTCTGTAACATCAGCACAATTTCACCAGACAGGAAAGGTAAAGCAGACGCTACAGGTCAGATCGCCAAGAGATTAATTAAAAAAGGCTGAAGAGAGGGGAGAAGACCTTTGACTTATATTGCTACATTGGAAAAATATGCCAAATAAAATAGGCTCTAGCCCTTCACAGAGGATTTTTGCAAGAAGAACCTGAACATGTTTACCCACGACTACAAAACATCTCAAGCCTGAGGTAGTGAGACTTGCAGAGAAAAATTGAAACTACCAGGAAAAATAGCAGATATGACAAAAAAACAACAAAAATCACATGATTTGGGAATTGGTCAGGCAGTAGCAGTGCAAGTACTCCCCGATAAAGACTTAACATTGACACAAGGGGCGGTTCAAGATAGACTTAAAGATAGGGAGGTGGAAGGAAAAACAAAAATGATGACAGATACAATGTTATGAATGTGAAACCATTCCCAGGAGGAGAAAAAAAGAAAGAAAGAAAAGAAAAACAAAAACAACAACAACAACAACAACAACAACAATGGTAAAGATGCCTTCAGGTTTTGTTGATTATGCTCTTTTCAAATAGTTTCATTTTGTTTCTTTTTGCCCTTTGAATACAACACTGAATCCCTTCTTTTAGTAATTATATACATGTATTTATAATGATATCTAAGTGATCATTATTTTATTTTGTATAAAAAAATTAAAACATTTTAATTTAAATTTTATAAAGAAAAGACAAACATGTTAGGTTAGTACGCATTGGAGAGTAGAGGAACTGTGTAGGAGGTAGGCATTGTAAGAGAACGTGTGGAATAAAGCGGACTGAAGTGAGAGTGATGAAAGTGCAAATGTATTATATCCGTAATACGACTTGTTTCACAAATATCTTCAATTTTACCTGTTTGCAGCTTTAGTTTTGGCAATTTGCTCCTCATGGTGTTTGTACCACTCTTCTAATTCACGCTTGGCTCCTTCCCTTAATTCTTCCTTCCTTTTTTCTTCATTTGCATCTAAAGAAACCAAAGTTTTCTCAAATAACACTTAATTCATGTAAATGGAAAACTGTAATGCAAGTGGTCTAATACACTAAGAATGTTGAAATGTGTTGCTACAACAGCATATACTTTCTTGTATTATTTGTAACGGTTTGAAACTAACTTGAATCCACAAAAGTAGGTTTCCTACCATTTTCATATGTACCTGGACTGGAAATCAATCCCATGTACATAGGTTTCACAAGTATCTAACTTTTCTATCATATTGGCCGGCTGACTAGATACACCAATGCCCCTGACGCATTAATAATGAAGTTGAACTTAAAAAGTTTAGAGGTTTCAAACAAATAATGGATCCACAGCATTTCATTACGCAAACTTTGCAATATATCAGAAACCAAAAGAAAAATTAACAAAAAAGTTTTGGGCAACTCTAAATTTACTCAATTACAAGAACACTATCAATACTTTAAAAAAATTGTTCTAGTCATTATTTGAAGAATGTAGGAGGAGGTCAAATGTTTTTGAAACATTTGCAATTTTCTAACAGAATCAGATCTGTGTCATTTTTATAAGCATACTTTCCTCGATAGGTGCAATTTTGAAAAATATTGTCATTTAGGCTTCAAGTATTAAAATTAAAATATCAGTTTTGATTTCAGTTCATCAGATTGATTACAAAACATCAATTATGATGAAAACTTATTGCACAGATAGGTGATAGTGTTCTTTACGAGCAGATATTTAAGAAAACCTTTTTTAATTGAGGACCCACAAAATATAAATTCTGACAACACATTTCCAAGCAAGAAAGATTAACTTTTCCATGATCCACAAAACAGCAGTTTTTCCTACAGCATTGCATTACTTTCTATGAAGCAGACGTGAGAAAGTAAACATTACCTTTTTCTTCCAGGCGCTTTTTCTGCTCCTCCCGCCATTTTTTTATTTTCTCTGGTTCTTCTCTGATGACTGGCTTCACTGGAGCAGGACTGGGTGAACTGTATTCTGAAAATTAATTTAACAAGATAGATAAAAAGACTTGTGTAATATCAGTCATTTAATTATTTAAAATAACATTCACATTCATTCTCAAAACAATTATAATGTGATGAAACAATATCAACATTTTTCCAGCCAAAATGGTATATAAACATGTCACGATATAAAACATTTTATGTTAGTTACTAATTAATTCATATTTCTTCCACAAGTATTTTAATAAGAAATACGGGTTGAAGTAGAGAACACCCTGGCAAAACGTACCATTCCTTGCTGATGATAATTCTATGCATCGAACTAATTTTCTCGTGTATATATATAAGAGAGAAAGAGAGAAATATACATAGTACAGGAAACGTTATGTAATACTGCGCAAAAAACGGCAATTTTCGGCAAAAAAAAAAAAAAAATTTATTGACAGGTCCTGATAACAAAATAGTGAGTAAATCCATTTGCTAAATTAAGAGAAAAACCTCCTCTAACATGTGGTGTAGCCAGAATCTGTTTTGTAGGTCCTTGATCCTGAAAAACCAATTGACAGTTAAACATCCGTCTGTCTGAACACTACTAGCATCTAAACCATGCATAGGATTTTCTCCAAATTGAAGAAACCCCTGTCCATCTGGCTTGAGTTTAAAATAATTCTTTAAAGTTTGGGGGTAGTTTACATAATGCCCCTGGTACATTTAAAGTTTCTCAAAAATGGCTCCAAATTTTCCTTTAAACTGTCAGTAGGGAATGTGCTAAATGCACTCTATTAAGAAGACAAACGCCATATCGCTGTTCTTTTGTTTTTTTTCAAAAATTACAAAAATGTAATTTTTTTGACTTCTCTCACATCTTTAATATTTACATGTCATATCACATTCTCCAGTGGAAGAATGCCACATATCAAAATGAGCAGTTCTTCAGGTGAAGCATGTAAAGATTTTCAGTTAATAGAAGAAATAACAAACATTTCAGGAAAGTGAAAATAATGTACATTAACCTTTTAAAACTCTTTAATAACATACATTAATTACAAATACCTTGCATTGATTAAACACACTTTTTTTAATTTAAAAATAATTGTTTTGAGTTATGGCAGTTTCCTTCCCAGTATTTGTTCAATTGGTAGGGAGTTATTGCAGATATGGTGAATACAAATTTTTATTATTTCCATTATATGGTGGCTAAATTTGTAAATATTGAGGCAAGGTAAAATACTTCAGGGCTTTTTGGCATTTATAACCAAAACTTTAATGTCAAATAGGTGGGGTAATAAAAGGAATTATTAGGAGACATTAAGAGTATGAGGTGTCAAATAGTAATTGGATTAAGTACATTTTAAGAAATTTAAGATTAAAATAAAATAAAAATAAAATAAAAAAAAAAAATTGAACAGACAAATATTATAGAACATTGTTGATAGGGGACATATCATGCTTTATGCTTGGTTACAGTGGGACAAGAGCACAGAGGAAGTTTAACAAAGAAACAAGTGAACCGGTTAGGCCAGATAGAAAGTGTAAGCAAACAATTTTAGTCAGATTTGGTAGAGTGAAAATCGATGGTCGTCAAGACATTGTGTAGAAATATTTCATGATAAGTACAACTATGCTGGATTTGGTAGAAGAAGCATCGATGGCCTTCAGGGCATACATTGAAATGCTTTTGTAATTAGTCCGAGGAGATAGAAAATGGACACATGGTCCACATGTAATGGGAGAATAGAAAAGTAATTTAAATGTGATTTATCAGAGAAAAGACTAATATTCATGAGATAATTAGGTCGCAAGTAAGAGTAGAAATTTATTAGTTGAAATTCAGTGTGGCCGTAGCGAGAGCTGACGCGTAGCGAGAGCGTCGCTGACGTAATTGACAACACCAAGATTGCTGAAAAATTCTTCGAAAGGGAGGTTTATGCAGAAAGACATAATGAAAATATTACATAGCAAGGCCAAGTTATGTTTAGCTATTAAGTTAACATTAAGATTGAGAATTGTTTGGTGTGTTTTGTTTCTAGAAATTTGTAGGCCATCGAACTGACATTAGAGGAATATGTTGGCAAGTTACATTGTTGAACAGTAAAATAAATTTAAAAAGAAATTTGAAAAAAAAATTATTGTGGCAGCCAACATTTACTGTCGGTAATTATTTCTGTATATTGAAGTTTCTATATATCCAATATCAAAGGAACCATCACTTTCGATATATGCAGGTCTGACTGAATGTATAATGTTGAGTACATTGCACACACCCTGCCCACCAAAAGATCCCCACAACTCTAATCACCCCTCTTCCCCTTCAACGTGGATTTTCCTCTCACCTGAGTGGCATGACTTCCATAAGTTGTAGAGTGTTCTCTACTTCAGACAAAATAAATTCCTACAACATCTTAGAGGTCCAAGATTTTTGGAATTGCTGAAACTTTATGTAAACTGAACTATCTCATGTTACATAAATACAGTTCTCCAATCATCTTTCCAATCATCATCCAATCAGCTTTTTACTTTTGTGGTATTACACCTGCACTGAGGAAAAGTAGACTACCAATCTTAGAACAATTGAGAAATCTCACAATCAATTGTAAAAATATGCTGGCAGTGGCATTCATGATGCAAACCATCCACCATAAGAAAGTAACGAAAGGGTTAATAATTAAACACAATCGAGACATTGTCAAGCTGAACCTTAAAGGAAAAAATTTGGTTGAAAACATCAGAAATGATTTCCAGAGAGGGGGAGAAAATTTATACAAAAAAGGACAACTGAAACATAAGTATTGAAAAGATCAGCAATGATTATAAACGCCTTTAAGAAAACTTAAAAACTTTATTGCCTTGAAATGAGAAAAACATGCACGCTATACTGGTATTTGCGATGTACACTGTTTATACACACATTTGTATTTCTAGCTCTGATAATATCAATTAAATCAGAACTTTATGCAGGTTGATTTTCCCTACCATAATTATAGATCTAGATAAATGTTGCTTACTTGGTTGACTTTCCATTAAATTCTCTGTTGTTGCTGCATGCAAGTAACCAAACAATATGTAAGAAAATTGCAGCTGATAAATGGTTAAATGCCTAACTTAATCATCTACAAGACTTACCATTATCAGCTTCACCAGATCCCCTATCTTCAGGGGTGCCTCCGTCTGTGTAGAGAATGCAACAATAAGCTAACAACCAATACCACAGAAAGCTATGTCCAAATGCATCATGCATGACTTGTTTGGTAGATAAGAAAAAGAACATTGAAAAGTATCAATGTAAGTCGCTCACAAGATGGGAACGTAGGGAAAAAATTAAGGACTTTTTCTAGGACAACCATTACATCATGCAAAAGTTTACCACTCTTCAAACAAGAGAAATAACACCTATAATAGAAACTCTTCACACCATTCCACCAATATAGCACCTAATATCAATAGAGATAATCAATAATTTGCACGCACTTTTCTTCACAAAAACTGATATACCTACTTCAATACCTCTTTAAACAACTTACCAGAGCCCATTCCTACAGTTTCAAAACCCTCCTGTTGTCCAAAGTTATCAATCATTTCAAAACTGCCATCTACTTGAGGAGGAGCTGTTGCTTGTGGCACGAATGAACCATCTAGTCAAATAAAAAACAGCAATGCAAAAAACATCAACAAAGCAGAAATTGACGTAAATTGAAATGAATTTATTTGCAATGATTTTTAGAAATTTATAATAATGATTCTCACATTAACTTGCTTCCCAGATAGACTATGTCTGTCTTATAGCGAAAATCACTGGAATAGCCTTTTTTTGGTCAAATTAATTGTTATTAAAGTCAAATATAATGAAAAATAAAAAGGGAAAATGTCTAATTATATTTACCTACTATTACATGCAAGAAATTGACATTTTTTAAACTTTACAACATGAATATAAATTTGGCTAAAAAAACAAGCATAACAAATGCACTGAAAATTGTGAACTGATATACACACACAAGCAAGATTGTATTACTACACAATTTCAAGCCACAATCAATCAAATCACAGCTTACAATACTTATTTTCTAGGTTGAGAATGCTTTAAATATAGGGAGGAAAAAAAAAAAAGTGTCCATCAGCCTTCTTTTTAAAAAATGGATAACAAAATAAAACAAGCACATTTACCATTGCATATTGGAGAACAAATTATTAGACTTAACTTTTCCTTGTTGAATTATTTTAGTAATCGCAATTTCCTAAAACCTATGTTGTACTCATAGCATTATCTATTAAATAGATGTCTAAATTTACAGCAAGAGAAGTTTGAACAAAATAACTCATTCTTTTTTGCCAGCGGTCCATAGGTGTTTACGTAAATACTACAGTATTTTATTTTGTCTGTATGGGTCTGAACCCTCAAATATGCAGTGGATTATACGAATTGAAGTGAACAAATTATTCAAATTGATCAGACCAATATACATTGCCATTGAGCAATTCTCATAATTTCTTTTGCCTCAAGAAAAGGGTAGAGAATGGAAAAGAAAAGTTATCAAGAAGAACTGACATCAAGAACATTTAACATTTATCCAGACAACCAGCGTGTTGGCATTGTGGGATCATTGTACAATCATACACAATGGTTTTCAGGTTTACTCTTGAGACTTTGTCTCTCTAGTGTCTACTTGCAATGGTTCTCTTTTATTGGCCAATAAACAATGGCAATATTACTTCTGATTTATACTTTATTTAGGCATGCAGTTCTTGAAAGAATGTTCTTTTAGCAAGAAACTTAGAGATCTTGAATTTGACAAAACAATCAAATAACATTAAATTGATTACAGGTCTGCAAGAGGTCATAGTTTGGACGAGTAGTGAAGTTGATAATATCAAGAGAAGTTATGTAGTTACATGGTTTATTAGAACTGTGCATCATTTCAGCAATAAGAATGAAAACTATACTGAGAAACATTTGTGATAATCTTATATATCTGTTGGAAACTGTGCAATGATTTAAGTTATATGAACACTAGCTGCATAAAATAAGAGGAAAACATTTAAATCCATATTATATATGGCAGTGACTGATAAAATATTTGTCTGAAGATTACAAAAATTGTCTATCCAGAGAATGTTTCAAGATGCAATACTCATTATTAAAAAAACAACAAAACACCAGCAGATGTTTTCCTGAAATCTGAAAGCAGGCCTAAGAACTCCACTGATGGTAATCAAGATATTTGGGTATGATGTCATGGAAATAGCAGTAGGATAAAGAAAAATACTTTTCTCTTACAGGCCACAAAACAAGATAATTACTTTCAAGTGATTTAAAATACAGTAATACCTTTAGAAACTATGGAAAGTTAGAGAAAGGATATTATGAATTAATCTCAAACCATGGTCTTCAAGGGAAAAATGCTGCTAAACATTTGAAAAATAAGTAGGTTGCTACCAGTCCAAAAATTAACTAATTTATAGCTTTTGCATTCATAAAAAGTAAACCTAAATAATGGAGAATGATTATAAAATATCAGAAATTATTACATTATTTTGTACATTTTTGGGGGAGAATAAAAATATATTTATCTTTGGTCTAATAATTTTGCACACCTCTGCAAATCGCTCAACTAGAATGGGTAACATAAAAAAATTACCGTAACTTGAATTGAAACCTGTGTTTCAAAATAGACAAATTCAGACCGTTATACATAAATACGGAAAATTATGTTCTAGACCTTTTTGAAGTGCAAATCTAATAACATTACAAAAAACAGCAATTTGTGCAAACTAACTTCTTGAAAATATATATTAATCTGCAAGACAAAATAATAAATTTTCTTGTTAATTAATACAAGCCCATATACCTTCAGAACCGGCGGTAACCGCTGCCGGGGCAATAGGATTCAATTCATCTTCTAGTCCTGCTAGTTGATCCTGTTCTCGTGCAAGAAATTCTGCGGCTGGGTCTACTTCGGGCTGATCGAAGTTGTCTCCAAATCCATCCATTATCTAATTGCAAACAATCAGATATTAATTTCCTCGTGGAAACGTTTAAATACTAAACGCAAGACATTTCACTACCGAAGCAAGTGAAGATTCCAAACGGAGCGAACTAAGTAGTGCCAGGACACGCACTTGCACCACGATAAGAAACGTCAAATTCGAAGGGACTGTCTTTTATCACCACCACTTCCGGTACCACCACACACTGCGATCGGCATACAGTACCAGAGAGATTTTAGCACACCACAGAGAGCTCACAGATACAGCAACTCAGAGAAAACTAGCAGCAGGCTGTTCGTGCCAGAGAGTATTATTATTATTATTTTTTTTTTATATCCAGTGCGGTCAATACTGTGCAAGTTTTCTTGTGACCTCATTTTACCAGATTAGAGAGGAGAGTGTGTGTGTGATTATTTTGTCAAAAGTTTTATTATATCGCATCTGTAGTTTATTTGTACTTGTAAAATAGTTCATGGGAGCAAATATTTTGTTTATAGATTTCGTCAGCAAACCTCAGTACCGTCCGGCGGTACTCTCATATGTTCTGAATTCAATTAATGTTTGTAGAGTGGGGATACGTATTCCGGGCGCGTGTAAATAAATACATAGGGCGGGCAGAGTTGGGTCAGAAACAAAAGCGCAATTATTTAGATATTCTGATGCAGATGTATTCTTAGTTATAATGACGATACCACGGAACATGGCCTATTTCGTTTTATTTACAATACTTCTTTTTAAAACGCGAATTGACACTATCACCTGGGTCGCCATTAACAAATCGACAGCTTTGTTATAAATTATTTTTAATATTAAAACTCTGGATTGGTTAATTCATGGCGACTGTACACGGTGTAGAGTCGGCAGTCCGATAAACAATAAATTTGCTATTTTTAAAAATCGGAGTATAGCTGAAGATGTAAAACCCATGATACTTGACAAAAAAAGAAAGAAAATACAAGATGACTGTAAGAGAATATGTGAGATGAGACACGACATGACTTGCGATATGACTGATGACTATGAGAGAGAATACAAGATGACTAAACTATTCATGGAGGAATACAGTATATTATATATTCCTCCATGCTGTATTTCAGAGATATACCATATATTAACACCTTTCATCCATGGATATACTCTCATGTACTCTTTGACTTGCAGTGTTGGCTGTTCTGGGCGTTTTTTTACACTAAAGTTGTATCACCTGGCACTTGACGTAAGTTAGCTGCGAACAATCCAATCATGAGCTTTAACGTCATCAGTGTGACGTCACTATGGTGACGTTCAAGCTTGTGATTCAATGAAACTATCAACAGCAGTTTTACGTCTAGTGCCAAGTTATAAAAATCTAAGTATTTCAATGTATATTGAATATTTTATAGTGATTATAGTTTAGTAATGGTCTGAGCTGTTCGTTTCGTTGTATTTAACTTTGTTGATTGAAATAATTACTTCCTACAAATGTTTTAAGCAAATACATGTCTGTATTAAGGAATGCTTTTTAAATTTGCTTTCACCTCCTTGGGTGCTTTAAATGCGCTTATACACCTGTATTACCACAGGAATGTGAATTTTATGTAGCATTTTCTGAACCGTAGAATTTAACGTGAAGCTAGTGCGTTGACGACCTTGCTCAGTAGTAGTCAAAAAAAAAAAAAAAATTATTCGATGGGGTTTGTGAAAAGCTTAGTGTGAAAGTTCATACTGAAACTTTTAGCTACCTTTCGTCTGTGTAAGCAACGATGCCAGGGGTTTTGTTTACTTTACCAGAACTATATCAATCTTATAAAGTATGGGTAAGCGACAATCCACAACTAGCTAGCGATGTCGAATCGACTGTGAAATGGATTTCGTACTTCATAGCCGGTACTGTATAATTACGTTTACGAGATCGTGAGATCTGTCGACACAATTTCCTATTGAAACAATCTTTATATTTCAGGTCGAGTTAATAATTCGAATGTTCTTTCCGAGCTTGTATTTTCTCTCTCTAATTTATTGGTGTTATTCAACGATCGCATTATACATCATGCGAAGAATATAAAAACATCTACTGGAGATACATTAAAAGTTTGGTTGACTGTCCTTGAATATTCAGAAGTATTCATTGAAGTGTCAGCCCGGAAACTTTGGGGAGAGAAGGGAAAGTGGATTGTAATTATTGCTCTTCAAATTGCCAAGTAAGCTTTGAGTTCTTGATAAGTTCCCATGTAAAGAACAGAGAATTGTCAATAAAACAAGATTAATAATAATGTATTTGTCATGTAAATACAGCTAAGCTATGACAAGTCAGGATATGTACATAATCATAAAATGATCAATACTGGTATTTGTAATATTTAAATACAATACCGAAATTAAAATTCGATTCAATTTACTTTGGTTTCAGATACTAATGAATTGTATTTCAAATTATGAAGAAAAAACAATAAAGGGAATCATAGTTTTATTAAATAATAATTATTATTATTATTATCATTATTAGAGAACAGATTTCTATGATTTTGCTTTTTTTTTATTCGGAACTTTAGGGCATGGCTAAGTGAAATTTCTTTACATTTGGTTAGAATTAGAGGTTAAAGTATGGTCCACGTTACACCCTCAGAGAAGCGTGGCGGTGCTGGGGAGGGGTCTCCATAAGCCCTCACTCAAATTACGCTATGCGATCTGATAGAAATGAATAAAACTTATGGATAGGTGATTTTCATGGCTCGCCCTTGCTCCCGCCACATTGTAATGCCAATTTACTTTTAACAGCAAAACAAAAAATAAATGACCCATAATACAGCATCAGCTTATAAAAAGTCAAATGATATAATATTCATACTCATACATTCTACTACTTATATGAGTTACTATGTAATTTTTCCATATAGGAACCAGAATGATAATTAGGATTAATGTAGCAGAAATGAGAAGATAATATAACTAATTTTACGGGAGAGGTATTTATTTATATTACACAAACTTGATCAGTGTTTTCATCCAGTTTTCCTTGATCGTTTAGCAAATGCTGAGATTGGTCTCTTGCTTTGCTTGACAGCTTCACTCTCTGCAAGTTTTGTTGAGCTCTCATTTGCTAGGCACAGGAGAAGTGGAAGGTTAATTATTTGTTAGCAGTGTATATTCAAACTCAAATCAGAAGGGTGCTTGCCCATGCAGTTCTATTGCATAGAAGTGAATATTTCTTATATTAAAATGCTGTTTTCTACCTTTACTCATAATAGGATGTAGAAAAAGAGAGGAGGATATTCTGGAACTGCGGAAAATGTGCACCTGCTTACATCATAGTTTACTTGTCCTACATGATTGAAATTGCATGTCTTTTTAAAATATTTTTATTATTATTAATTTTTAGATTTATTTGTATTTTGAAATTTATATTTTTCTGAGAATGTAATAGCAAATTTTAATGCGTTTATTTATACACGTTTGTTGAAACAGATGTATTTCTCGACTTATTTTGTTGGTTCTTCACAAAGAAAATATAATTCAAAATCCTCCAGTTCCTCCTTTAAAACGTAATAAGTTGGCAGAAAAAGAGAAGACTAGTGTAGATCCAGGGTACAGTTTGAATTCTGTGACGTTTACTTTAAAACGATCTGGAAGGTTGATTCGACGAATTAGTGCAGGTAGCTTGTTTACATACAGTTCTTTATGATGGGAATTAATTTTTCCTTCAGAATGCATATTGATGTACATGATTTCTAGCACCTCCTGCTCAGTGTCGCAGCTGGAAACCTCCTATCCATAATGTGGATAATCATGAGAATCAGGAAGATGAAGATGAAAATGGAGTACCAGCTGTACGAAAGCATTTGTATGCTGAGGTAAGAGTTCTTAACTGCTAAATGTGAAAATGTAGCAATGTTTTAACATTATTTTGTTATATCCTTCTGCTCAATATATTCCTGTTGTTCATTGAAATGAAAAAATAGTTACATTACTGTTTTATAAAATTTAAATGGAAAGAGTTAAAATTAAACCTGTGTAAGGCTTAGAAATTAAATGTTGTGGGTTTATGCACAGGTTCTTTACGTTATAAAGCCATTGATGCACCTTGGTGCAATGGGTCGCTGGGGGATCCAAGCATGGAAACCTTGGCTTGTTGCTTTGGGAGTTGATTTACTTAGGTAAGTTATCGTTTATATTTTTTACAGTTACTAAAATGAATTAGTAATTAATGCTTTTGCTTATTTAATTTCTTCCTGTTTCAGTTTGCATCTTTATAAATATAGGCTGTCATCTACAAGGTTAAGCAATCAAAAAAAGCTTGAATTATCTCGTAGATCTGTGGCTTTGCTACTGTATATTTTAAGATCTCCATTTTATGAGAAATATAGTAAAGATCGTATTCAGGCATTCCTAGAGGCTTCTAGTCAAACGATTCCTTTGGTTAGACTTGTATGTAATCCTTTAGCTCAATACATTCCTGTTTGGCAGGACACATATTTTTACACATGGTCAACATGAAGCTGCTCCTGTAAACACTGGTTTACAAATGTTGTATTTTTGTATAAACATTTATAAGAAGTGTTATAGATATTTGTAAATTTTATGCTACTTAGGGTATTGTCTGTTGGTTAAGGTTTTATTGTGGTAAATGCAAGGTATAACTGTGATATTTTTGTACAAAGCTATATGGGATGAAAAAAGCAATAAATATAGTGGAAAATTGTGGTTGTGTGTGTCTTATTTTTTAAAACAAAACACAAAATTGTGGAATTGTCTTCGTATGGTAAGGGGTAAATATATAAATATTTGTATTGGAAGATTAAAGTATTAAGGCCAATTAGTTATACACACAATATGAAATAAAACATCCTACTTTTTAATCTATATGTAAACATGAGTAAATGTAAGATAGTAATGAAAAATTGAATTGTAATAAAATGATGATCTATTGAAAATGTGTTATCAAAATTTGCTATTTGTTTCCCATTAACTTACCTAGAATTATTAAATGTGTGTTGTATGTATAATACTATTCATAGACACATTTTAAATATCCAGCTAGAACTTGCTCCAAAACCTACTAAATTCAGAATAACGGCCTCTGTCACAGAACACCTTTTTATTTTACTTCCAACATCCAACTGTCTTTCTGGTGTATTCGAACAACACTAGCACCTAAACCATATATAGGAATTTTTCAAATTTAAGAAACCTCTGTCGATCTGTCCTGAGTTGAAGATCTGCGATTTTGAAACCAGGCTTTACTTTTGGGGGTACGTTACATGAAATTCAAGGCATTTTCAAAATTTTCTCAGACACTACTACAAATTTCTTTACATTTTTTTGTAAGAATTGAGTGAAAATACACTTATAATGGTGGCATAAGTCCAATTTTCATGGTTAATTCTGAGTTTTCAAAAAATTTGAACTTTTTGAATCTATAGTGCTAATTACTCTTTAGTATGAGTAGTAGTGAGATCTCTTACACCGTTAATATGCACATTTCCTGGAATTTGTAAACACTGTTGCATTTGTGAATGAAAGTGTTTGAAATGACTTCATATTAAGTTTTTTGAAAAATTCTGTAAGAAAGTTTCAAATTGACAGTGGTGTTTCAGCACTATTTTCTTAAAAACTACTCCAAATTTTTGAAAGAAAATTGCTATTTAGGTTTTACTGTTATTTAATATTCGTAAAATAATATATCAGTTCTATTAGGAAACCAAAAAATTTAGATAATTTGAAGAAAAAAATTTGGGGCAGCGATAGGTGGCAGCTGGCAATAGTATGTGCTAAGTCTGAATACCTTGCCTAGACCAAAGGAAATAGAAAACTAATATAGGAAAGACTGTGCTATTTTGTAGGTTTTTTTGTTTTGGTAATACATTTGCCTAACGAGTAATGAGATCTTATGTTTTGATTTCTTTTTGTAGTGAGTTGTATGATTAATTGGAACATTTGTATTGTAAAAAACTTTTAAAAATTGAAATGGAAATATTAATTTAATTTTTAATGTGGCGTAATTTGTGGAAAGTTTGAATTTTGTAGAAATTTATATTCAAGAAGTTCCCTTGCAGATAATTCGCTTATTACTTAACGCTGATCTACAAAAATAACCCCTTTTTCACATGAATGAAAATAAAAGATTCTAGAAATATTTTTCATACCAAATTAAAATATTTCATTTTTTCTCCATCAGGCAGTAGTTTTGTGTGATATTCATGTCAACTTTTTATAATTTTTTAATAAAATCAGTAACTTGCTATCCATCTCTACATTGTATACTACTCTATACATTCTGTACCTAGAAGGTGGTAATAAAGATTTTCTGTCATTCAGTATCTGAAGCATCGCTCTTCTTGGTCCAACCACCGTAGTCAGCCAACATATTAGAACTGCACTTGCCATAGTACACATTTCCCATTGTAGAAATTTACTACAATGGAACCACTGTGCCTGATAGTGTCCTGCTTTATGGTTTCCAAGGAAATTGCATTATAAATGTTTGAGACTGCCAGGCTGCTTTCTCCAGTGGATTTAACTGTTCTTTAAAATGCTCATCAGCCATTAATGACTACATTTGTGGTTCTAAAAAATTCCTTTTTTTCAATTTAGCATCAGTTACTTTCCAAAATTTGGATTTCAAGGACAAGGATCCATTGAAAATTTTATCCACAGCTTTAACAAACTTTTTCATTCCTAATTTAATATACAGTGGGGGTAAATATATTTTTCAGGATTCACTAAATAGTCATGTAACATTTTTCTGCTCAGGGATACGAGATTTTAATATCTGTCAAACAGAAATAACAATCCCTTTGAGGATCTTTCGATTCCCTCCAAATCATAGGAATTGCAAATGGCATATGATATGTACCTTTTTTCTATCAAGCCAACAATCTTAATGCGCAAAAGATATCCGGGGCCCAGCTCTTTTCAAAATCAACTCTTTAGCCAAAGCAATATTGGTAACACTTCGCAAGGGGTGTTAAATTTTGTCTCGGAATCTTTCAAGTTAACTCACCACAAATACCAAAGAAATTATCTGCACAATTTACACACATTCTTGCCATGATAAAAATACAAAACACAAGCTTCCACATTACACTTCTAAACACAAAGGAAGGAAATATATCACTAGTGAATTTTGTGCTAACAAGCTCATAGCACCTCAGTTCTGACACACCACAATGCCAGATTAACTGGTCTGATCTAAGCATATCAGAACATGAATGAACCTGCACAGTATTGCATGTTTGTGTTTCAGCTTGATATTACATATCATTCCCTTAAATCAGCTTGAATAAAGTCGCTACATATAAGGTAAAGGTTCCTTTGGCAGTTCAAAGAGAATGTTAAAATCAGATTTTTAAAATAGCTGTCACAAAAAAACTGTGCCCAATGGAAAAATTCCTATTACATATCTGAATTCAGAATGAAAAAACCCACCACATTCACTAATCAGATTTCTTGTGAAGAAAACCTTGTTGACCTGTGAAATTTGTCATTACGTCCTTGAGACCAAATTAATGTCCTTGTCCATGAGTAGTTCATTCCTTCAAGAATGGCAACGAAAGTTGGCAGTTTGGCAAAATTTCTACAAGAATGGCAGTTTTTCGTGGAGTCTTTTTTTAAACTACAATTTAATTTATAACATTATAATTTCTTGGAAAAACTGTTACAGAAAGGTGGCAAACCTGGATTCTTAGCATTAAAATGACACTGTCACAATCCATCCTGACGCTACCCAAATTCTTAATCTTCCATTTTACTGTGTTTAATGTAGATGTTGATCCATGGTGTAGAATGACTGGGGAGAGATGAATGAAACAAAACCTTGGCAAGTTTGTTATCCTGTTATTTGTACTACAAAGGGTGTTAAGTTCAGGTGTTGTGATACTACCCAATTTTAAAAGAGAGCCAAACGGTACCATTGAATTCAAATAGATCTACAATAGAAAGTAATAAAATGAAGTTCATGCAAAATATATCTTAGATTTAGTGAACTTATTCAAGATAGAATCAGACATTTACCATGATTGTTGATAATATTCTTACTGAAATGAAAAACTAGATGTTCTTATCACATTGTCTTTATTATAAAAAAGTAAAGCCTATATTATAGGTTTTATGGAATTATGTACATTTCATCACAGTTGTATGTGGTTTGATGTAAATCAAACCTTAAATTCTTCAGTCCTTTTTTATGCACTGATTTACATGCACGAAAAACTTGCAAAAAATGTATGCAGCACATTGCATATATTCCTCCACTCCTTTAAACAAGGCCTGACAGATTTACATTTAAATTATTAACAAAACTTAGTGTGTAAGGAATGTGCATGTCTCCCAGGCATTTATCTTATATACATTGGACAAGGTCCAATCAGTGCATTGTTTAGGTACATTATTTACAAATATCACAATTTTATATTCACAGAAAAAAGTCAAGGAGTTCTTTCTGCCAATTTATCACCATCACCAATTCCACTACTTCATTTCATTATTACAAAGGAGTTCTTTCTTGATCTCTGAGTTTCTTCTACTTTTGGTTGATCAGATTCTGGGAGAGACAGAGGACTTGACGCTTTCTCTGGTCTGTGTTCATTTCCTTGTGTGTTTGCATTCCACTCGCTTTCAGGATCAGAAAATATATTTCCACTATCTAAATCCAAACCATCCTCATAGGATGCATCTGAAAATCCTCCAGTGCTGTACTGACCATCACCAAGGTCATCTGTAAATGAATGTGTTCCTTAATAATTATATATATACGAGATACGTGTCCCTTAATAATTATATTTATATATATATATATAAAAAAAAGTTGCCTTTGTAGTAGATTTAGTTGTGAGGAGGCAGAATTTCCATTGAAATAAAAAAAAAAAAATTATTTTGGAATAAAGATCATTCTACAAACAACGTAGAATTCAATATAAACACTAAGCTAGTTTGCCACAAATATTTTGAACAGATTTCTGATGGATTTATTGTTTGAAGTGTTTTTTGTCTTTATATCAATTTGAAATTAGAGTTGCCATGAGGAATTCGGGACATTTGAAATATATTTCAGAGCAAATTTGTTATTTGTATACAACTAAGTAGTTTATCAAGTAAATCATATAACAAGGAAATAGTGTATCAAGTAAACAACTAAATAAAAGAACAAGATAGATACCTTGCACAATTTCAAAAATAACAGGGTGACCACTTTTTCTATGACAATTCTGTAACTGCTCTAGGTCATCCTGATAATTTTCTTTAGTTTTCCATGACAAGCATTTCAAGGTAAATAAAATATTAAATGGCATGGCTTAGCAATATAAAAATACTTTGCCAGAACCCTTTCTCCTTTGCATGGCAAATTCTCTTGCATTAACACATTGTTAGAGGGACAGGCACTTCAATACAAAGCTCACAATGTTTTAAATCTTTTTTCCAGCTCTCAGGTTCCACCGTAAAAAGACAATAACAATATTTGCTTAACAAATGTGCCCAAAATATCAAATGTATTCAAGGTGTTTGAAGGAAAATTCTTAGTTTTTAAATGTTGTCTTTGAAATTACCTTGACTTCCAATGATCCTTCAAAAAATTTCCTGACTTTTCCACATCAATAAAATTCCAACTTTCCTCTGTTTTCCAGAAGTGGTCACCATGAATTAAAGTATTACTTCTAAAGATTTTATTTTTTGGTCAAAGAATGTTAACTCTCAAACCAGTCAGTTGCCAGATGATTAGTACGGAAATTTGCCACTTGTGTATTCTTTGTAGCATCTAGGTCTCCAATATAATTCACAATTTGTACAAAGAACGGAGTTTTTTGTAGGACGATATGGAATTATAACAAGAGTATACAAATTCAGGAAATTTGGCAGAAACAAAGAAAAAATTGGTGGGACAGGACATATTCCACTTTTTCAGGATATGGCAACCCTATTTGCAATGGACATAAGAATATTCTATATAAATATATATACTAAATATCTATAATTTGAAGAAAATAAAACATTAACATTGTCTGCACTTTTTCTGCTTATTTAAGAAAGTACTCACCATCAAAAAGAGTCTGTTGAGATGTCCATGTACTAACAAGGGGTTCATTCCAGTCACCATCAAATTCAAGTCTTGTATTATTTTCACGTTCTTCAGGAGACAGCATAGCTGAAGTGTCTGCATCCGTCACATCAAATATTTCAGTGACTTTAACCTAATAAATATAAACAGTAGTCAGAAGGATTATGCACTATATTACTAATATTGTGACTTATTGGACACTTTCAAATCTACCTTATTGTCTTCGTCCATATAATAGAAAGCCATTACAGCTTCATGATGTGATGTAACTTGAAGTATGTGTTCAAACGTATCATTATCCATGGGCATGTCAGTTCCTTGTCTATTAACCGTCATACTTGGCCATCTGGACATTCCTCTTTGTGGTGTTATTTGTCCCGGGAGCTCTCTACACAAATTAATTTTGTGATCAAAAATTGAACTTTATTGTATACAAAAGATATTTTTATGAAATAATCATTCTTATAAAATATACACCTTCAAAACTGAATAGTTATTTTACATTACTATAAAACAATGTATAATTGCTGTACCTGTTGTCATAATTTAAAGTAAAATTAAAATTAACATTGTTTTTGGGAGGTCCAGAATCCTCAACTGCATCTGCCTCCATATCTGTGAAAGAAGCAAAATATATTTGTTGGAAATGCAATTAAACATTCAATAATTACGATAAAGGAAATTAAAAATTACACTCACCATCACTATAGTTTGTCAGGGACATTTGACATGTAACATCTGCACTTAATTGCTGACTTTGGCTGAGGTTGTTCAACATCATGGTTAGTTGATTCACCAAGAACTTGCTCATAACTAACAAGTTATTTCCAAGATCTGGAGCAGCTCTCATAAATCTAGAGTGCAAAGAAAATCCTGTACCATTAAATTAGAATGCAACTCTCACCGAGTGTTAGGTTTTTGTTTGAGAAATGTAGTAGATGCATAATATGCCAGTCACCATAAATAGCATTACAGAATATTGAAGTGTTTCTTTAAAAAGAAAGACTCCTAGATATTCCATCACCAAGCAATACATAGACATTCAAACATTCACAGTTGTAAAATGGTAGCAAGCTGATCAAAAAGGATTGCAAACACATAAGGAGTTTTTTGTTAATTGTAACTGCATTTATTCACTTTTGAATTATAAAATTGTAGAAAATCTTGAGAAACTCGTATCAGTTTCTTTGAATATAACAGACCTTGAGTGGCTTTTTATTCTGAAGGAGGAAGGGCACTGAAGTTTGCACATGAGTGAACGTTCTTTATCTGTTTTAGTTCTTGGTTTTTTAGAATAATAATTAATGAAATTTCAAAATTTTCATGAAGAAACTACTAGAGTTTTGCAAAGACTTAATATTACTGATTGTGTGTTATGGTTTGAATAATGACCAAGGTAAAGGTCCTCAAAAGCAACTCATTAGGCATCAAACTTCACACAAGGAAAAACATATGCAAGTGAAATGAAAGGTGGACCTGTGCAAATTTCAAACAAACAAAACTTTTGGAACGCCACGAGCTACTGAACAAGAGTAACCCAACACCACAAGCAGTCTTTAACTGCTTACCTGTAATGAGTTAGTTCATTAGAAACATCGTTTTCAGAACAGCTACAGTTTTCTATGGCTTGTAGCCTGGCATTGCCTACTACACGTAGAGCATGCGATCGGGTCTGCACAGTGTTACCAACAAAGCTAATAATCAAAGATATAAATGTAATCTATGCATAGATTAGTACACATATGGAATAGTTAATTGGAATTGTTGTTGGTGTCAATTGAATAGTTAAGAGACATTAAGGGCAGAATTAGTTGGCCAATACACAAGTATTTCAATAATCTAAAGGTTTCCATGCAATAATAACTATTTTAATAAAGTAGACCTAAGTATTTTCAGGATGCAAAATGTTCAATATCTGAATCAGTTTTCATTTCAATATTTATACCCTAAAATCTTTAGGTTTGTTTTAAAAACTCAACTTCTATAAATTAGTCAATTTGGGTATATTCTACTTCTTTAGGATAATCTATATTATACATATTTCATATTAATTCAATCAACCAACCAACAATAAAGGTTTTAATTTGGAGCATATTCGTTAACATTCTATACACAAAAATAATTAAGGAATTTGTTTTAATTCAGGATTGTGAAATAAGAACTATATATTTCAATGAAATAATTAGGAAAATATATTGACTTTTTAAGTACTGGAATTATTTTTTGAATACAGGAGACCCCATTTTTAAAAATTTCACGATCATTTAATAAGCAAGATAATTAGGTAGCATATTTGCTAATAGTAAGTGGCTTACTTTGTAAAAGTTGCATATATTATATCTGCTGGCAAGGTACATGGAAGGCTTAGCACTGACAGAAGTTTCATACTGCGATGTTTAAAAATCCAATTGATAAGGCCTTTATTGGCAGATTCTATGGCATCTTGAAATACTGTCAGTATTGTGTCAGGTAAATTTCCCATCATAGCTTCCTGAAACCGGAGTAAATTTTGTAATGAGCACAAATTAACCATGGAAAAAAGATTTGTATTTGACAAAACACAGGAGGAGTTTATACTAACTTGTCTATGTTTTTTACACTCTCGACATTGGGGATCATATTCCAAATTTTCATCTGGGGTGCTGGAGAGAATAAACGTTGATTGCACAGCAAGACACCTGGTGCAGTTGATTAGTTTGTTTCTATGGAGAAAGCTTAGAGCATCTTCATATCCTTGTTGACACATACTGGCCAGGACCTTGACAAGTAAAAAATTATTCAAATTATTTTCAAATGAGCTATTTACATGATAATCAACACTATGTTATCATGAGTATTTATTACCTCAGGTTTTGGTGGAAACAGAATTCTTGTAAACCTATACATGTTCTCTTTGGAAAGTTCAATACTGGTATTAGCAACATTCACCTGGAGAAATAATTTTTTATATTAGTTTGTATTTTATCCTGTATTGGGTGCAGAATGTTTAGTGAAACATTTTATATCTCATTTTAATTTACAGAATAAGAAAACTCACATGAAACAGTTGAGAAGAAGGATCCCTTGGGCAAATGTCACTTTCTCCACAAAAAGGACTAACAGTGATTGTGTTCTCGTCTAATGTGGGTAGATTGTCACTAAAGCCTCCATCCATATAACGAATGCCATGAAACCGAGGTGGTAGCAATCCTGAGAAAACCGGGACGAAACAGCTTGCTAACAGAGCCTGCAATTCAAATCCTTGTGAATCACACCTTCGTAACGAAAGTAATCAATGTTTAAAAATTAATCTAAAACAATTATGAAAAAAATGCAAGGAATTAAGAGCAGAAAGATTAGCCAGAACAAAATACGCAAATATGTCCAAAAATATGCTCCGATTCTACTTTTCAGCCTCATCCAATACTTTTTGGAATTTTTTTTTTAATAAAAAATTTTATGTAAAGACAGACATGTCAACAAAGACAATGGGATGAGTATGACAAGGAACCAAGAAGAAAAAGAGAACTCATTGTATGTCTGACGAGAAGTTTCTGCTTACCTGCAAGAGATCTTCTTTGCTGTTAAAATGTGAAACAATGACATTTTTTCCATCATACACACGAGTGAGAGAAATATGAAGCTTGCCATTTACCAGAAGGTGTGCATTGTCTGGCAAAACCTAAAATTAAAATAACACATTTTTAATATGAACTCTACTAATTGCTCTATTATTTTTTAATATTTGATTTTTTAATATTTGATCAAATAATTTATTATTATCGCCATGACGATAATCATGATGATAATCATTATTATAATAATCATTATTAGAATTATTATTATTATTTACCTTCTCAAGTTGTTCCAGAAGAATGTTTTGAACATTGAAAGAAGGGCTGAAGGGTCCCAGGGTTTTTGAGCGGGCCTGCTGCACTACTTTTAATACATCACTCACTTGCTCCCCTGAAAATAAAGAAAATAAAATAGTAGTAAAAGCCAAAACGATGTAATAAAATATCCTTATAAGTGAATCATTGAACAGTGAACCCTCGAAGCTGTCACAGAGAAATTTAATTATTTTCAACCGGAAATACTAGAACTTATTAATTTAGGACCCCACTGAATGAATCTTATTTTCACACCGAAGTTTAAGGCCGAAGACATGAGCTGTGTGAACGTACGCTCTTTTATACGTAAAACTGCGTTTTACACAACACGTCGCAAATTTTCAGAAAATCCAAATGCTTCCTTTTTTTTTTTTCGTTCTTTCCTATTGTCGTTAACACAGGACGTAAAATTCTCAACATCAGTATTACATGTCTATACTGGCCTGCACATATCAGAAAATACAAAAGATTTGAAAGTTCCAGGCGCAAGGACGAATTTAATAAAGACCACACTCCTTTCCAGCAACTAGCCCCCCCCCCTTTGGTCACACAAGTCCTGGTTTATTGGTTAAAAAAAAAAAAAAAGATTTTTTCCCCAATGTTTACTTCACGTTAGGGTGTAGTTTCCACTAGCCTCACCAACAGACCAACTAGACACCAATTAGAGCATCGGAAAGAGAATGAACGTTTCAAAAAGGTTCCCGCCGAGAGCTCGTCATGGGTTGTCATGTGCGGACTGCGAAGGGGAACTCGAGCGCTCAATCACCGCTCACGTGCGAGAGGCCCCAGCCGGGCCCCAGCGCACGTGCGGGGAGTTTAGGTCTCCCCTGCCTCTTTGCCACTGCATCTCTCAGGGCCGCTCATTCGAAGCAGATACTCTATCTTCCCATTCTAGCTCTGAGTGGCGTAGAAAAGAGGAGGGGCAGTATACAAATCAAGTTGTCCAACAATCCTCCATGCATTTTTTTAGTTCTGATATACACTGATGAGCATTCTCTTAAATAACTTAGGTTAAAGTGTCAGCCTACAATATTAACCAAGTACCGCGCACATTTCAACCTTGTAAAGGAGCAATGCTCTCTGAAGTTACGTGCAACAGACCTCTGTTCTTTAAACTATTTTTTCAGCTTCCGAAATCTGACGAATCTTCTTTGTGGAGGAGGCAGTTTCTCAAACATCCTTCCTATATGAGTGATATACATTATCTCTCCAAGAGGTCCGCTTGAGGTTTCGAAATAATGATAATGTCAGCAATTTAAATACTGAAAACCATCGAGAAGATACGTCAATGGGATAAACAGTGCGAAAGCACATTGCGCAAACTAACACCGAAAGACGTCGCAACCAAATATTGGCTTTGTAGAGACTATTCCATTCGTGAAATTAAAACCAATAATATTTAACTATACATGCAAAATGCCCCAATCAGGGCGGTGTATCTCAAAAAGTTTACCGCTTTTTCTATCTGATTTTTATTACCGCTTCTACCTACTGGCCAATCAAACTGACTCATCTACGCATCTTAGAGGCGTTATACATCGATAAATGTCGATGTAAAAAAACTATGTGCTACAACATAACCTCTGATTATAACATACGCTTTCAGTTATTTTCAATCTTGGACGCATTTTGGAACTCTATTGGACCACTTGTGCTTCGGAAATTCTCAGATAAATAAAATTTTTGAGTTTTCGAAAAACTTATTGGACGTCATTTGAAGCACTTGAACTCAAATACAATAGTGTATATAAATTGCTGGAAATGTGCTGATTAATGGCGGGTGAAATCTTGCAACAAAATTACATGTGTAAGTTTCGAAAAAACAAAAACTCAAAATGAACTTTATTATTAAAGAGTGCAATTAGAACTCTCCATTCCAAAAGTTTGAAGACAAAATTTGAAGCAGTTTTTGAGAAAATGGCGTTTGAGCGGTTCTGAAAATGCGGATTTTTGAGCTAGTTTTCACAAAAGACGGTTGAGTTTGAGAAAGTTTATATAACCTTATTTAAAGCACACGCACTCATAAATATAATAATGTGAACATATCGCCGCTAGTATAAATATCAACGACGCGAGAGACAAGTCAATAAAATTACATTTTTGTAATAGAGCAAATTGATGTTTAGGTCATCTCAGAGTACATTTAGCACTATCGTTACCAAAGGTTTAAAGAAAAAACTTGGAGCAGTTTTTGAGAAAATCTTGTTTTTGTTTAAAATTTCATAAATTTCACGCAATATTGCGCAAAATGACATACACGACCTTAATTAAAGAACTCACAATGGAGAACAAATTTTATTTGAAGGAAAAATCTTTCATCAGTTTTGTAGTTTTAGAAAGATGCCCGAAAAATTTCAGTAATTGAAAATTCAGAGTTAGCCCTGAAAATAAGACCTATGCCACTTTTAAAAGTGTATTTTACTCTATTCTTACAATAAATTTCATGAAAACATTTGGAGCAGTTTTTGAGAACTTTTGAAAATGTGCGGAGGTTCTCATGTACAGTACCATACAGTACTTCATGTACCCCAAAATTAATGAATGTTTTTCAAAATTTCAGAGCTTCGACTCAGGCCAGATCTGGAGGGGTTTCTTTAGTATGGAAAAAATCGCATGCTTAGTTTAGGTGCTAATGCTATTCATATACATCGGAGGGACGTTTTGAAAACACTTTCTGGATATCAAGGGACCCGAAAATGTATTTCCGTTCAATCTCGAAATGATTTTCCCTATACTACATAACTTTCCCTATACTACGTATATTACACTGTATATACGTAAGTATACGGAAAAATAAAGACTGAAGTATCATTTGAAGCTCAAGAGATCATTTCTACAATTATAGACCTCGAGCAAAAGAATACGGCAATACTACAGGCTGAAATAAAATTTTAAGAAATTAAGACGCCAGAATCTGGAAAACACTTTTTTGAAAAATAACCAACCCCCTTTCTTTTGTGGACCGTAAATTATCTTCGTATAGCCGGTGTCATGAGTGTTTGCTGCACCCGCAGTCCTTCTTGAAATAAAAAGATAACGGATTTGTCTATAACTTGTTTTGTTCCATGACTCATAGACACACACTTATTGTTCTAACGATAATTTTGTGTACTTTCGGCATGACAGCGAGACCCAAGCGATAGGCGGAAGAGAGAGGGCTTGGCTTGCAGCAACCAATGAGGAAGTTTGCTGAAATATCTCTGAAATCATCTGTTTTCAGTCGTGGGGAAAGCACACTACCCAAAGAGCTGTGTACATATCGGACATATTTAACATTGCAACGATACTATGTTTATTTTTTATAATATTAGTATGCGTTTTGTCTTTTACAGGTTTCGTAACAAAGCTGAGCGTAGAGAAAGTCTTGTGGTAATGTTTCAAATAATTAAAGTTTGTTTAGACAAATGCTGAGAGTTTTGACAATCCCTGGACCTTATGTTGGACATCTTTTTAATGAAACTAGAAAGTACTGAATGCCAATACATAATTTAATATAATTTACTCTTAAGTACTTCTTCCCCTTGAAAAGCAGATATTAATATTAAAGAATTAAGCAAGTTTGTCTTATTTCTTCCAATAGGTCCAAATAATGATCGGATCTCTTCTTTCACTAGAGCAGTTATTATTCACTAGTGCAGTTATTTCAATAGTGCAGGAATTATCTTTCTGAGAATTCTTTCTTATCCATTCACGTTTCATCACCTTTCTTTAAAATGTTCGATTTTTGAAGCGTATTCAGCTACTACATTCTGGGCGAAAAAAAGTTGTTCTCTCGAATTCATGGGACAGTTTTTCAAAAATTGAGACAAAGTTAACAATCCAGATCCAAACTTTCCGGTCAGTTGCAAAACAGCGAACATTTTACATCTGGATTACATTTGTTTCTTTCATCAAGATCAGCCCTTGTGAATGGGCGGCTTGCTTGCGAAGGCTTTGAGTGTCCGGGATGCTCTGGGTGACTGATGAGGCTGCCCCTTCTGGAAAGAAAAGAAAGAAAAGAAAGAAAAGAAAGAAAAGAAAGAAAAGAAAGAAAAGAAAGAAAAGAAACACTGTCCAGATGGATTGTTGAGGGAGTCATTTTTGAAGGAATGAAATGCATCATTCATAGATGTTATAGTTCTGTCATTATGTGTGCTTTAAACGTTTTGCATACTCCCCTAAAACACTAAAATTCAACATTTGCTCTATGACCTGATTTCAAGCGATAAACGCGAAAACTAATCCGAAAAAATTAGAGAATATACTATTCCTAGACAGCGTCTGTTGACAGCCGTATGTTCTGTTGCGTTAACACACACGTCCTAATAAGCCCTCCTCATGATATCACGGTTCACTGACAAAAATCAATGCTATTCCATTAAATTCAATACATTGAGTATATAGTTACTTTGGTGTCGCATGGCGTTCGTTTCCAAGCACTATTTTGTAGTCCAAAAATGTTAAAAACTAATATGTCAAAATATCTGGGCTTTGTACGACTCATTACCATATCCGCCATGTATTATTTACTATTTTTTCGCCACTAACATAAGGCATTTTTGTACTTGACAAGTATGATATTACCTTGATATAATAGCGCATACTGATCGGGTGCACATATAGAATGAATGGAGTGCACAGTTTTTGGGAGCTCTTCAACACTTCCTGTTTTGCTTCTGTTTCTGAAATGGTTTCACAACTTCCTGTCAGGGTGAGGCCCGTCCTCAGCCCCTCTCGAACTGAAGAACCGCTTTTATGATGCGCCGTTCAATATTATGGTGACCAATATTTTGAGCTGAAAACCGTACAAGTCCTTGAAATCATGTCGGGCGTCAATTACATTCTGTCTATTATCAACGAGTTTATCAAGATCGAAGAACGATCCCTCCACATCAGGACTGGATTTAAGTATTGCGCCAGGAGCATACAATTGTGCCCCTCCCACCTCCTGCGAAACAAATCTCCAAATCTACTCGCAAAAGTACTCATTATAATAAAATAGTTTCTATAAAACTTTTCTAGACAGACTTGTTTAATTAACTACCATTTCACAGATACAACCATATATTATTACAAAACTCAGACACGCAGTAGAAGAATCTCAGATTTTAATTATTTCACCAAAACTGCAAAGAATCTCTGGGAAAACGGGCCTGTACCGGCCAGAGCGTATTATTGCAGTATGGTGCAAGCGTGTGTCGCTCCGAGCTCCAAAGCCCCTCCCGAGGATGTAGTAAGAAATACTAGATTTCTGTATCATTTTGACAATTATAATCATAAAATAATATCAGTTTATATATTTGTTTCAAATATGGAAAAAAGTTTGTTTGTTTGGAGCATTAACTAACAGTTTGTAAAGTATGCAAGAAGGAAAGTTGTCAAATACGTAAAATCTATAAAATGCAATGAAAATAATATATCAACCTATATCGTATTTTTTCCCTTCAGTTTTCTTCATTTGAAGACAAACCACTAAATACTGTAATAAATTATTTAAAATTATATATATATATAATATCCATCTTATTTCTGGTACACTTCCTTCTAAATTATAAAGGAAAATTAAATTAAGGGAACAGCAAGCAGAACAGGTTGCGTGCACTGACGCTACAGAGAAGAGTCGTGTGTAGAACCAGGATATACTATTAAATGGAATTGAAGTACCTAGATTTCATGTTAACTTTACCCCCCCCCCAAAAAAAAAAACATAACCCAATGTATTTCAGTTCTTGTTGAGGTACACGAAGACCTAAAACATTTTCCTCCCTCTTACTATTTTTAAAGTGGCCAATGCCATTAGGTCATTGTAACACATGCCTTATAAAAATAATCTTTTAAATTAATTCGCGAACGTTCTTTTGAACGGGCTCGTGGCCCCAGAAATATGCTTACCACTGTTAAAATTATTCATTTTAAAAGGCGGGAGGTGTAACAATGACCTAATGTTATCGGCCACTTCAAAATAATAGAGTATAGATATTATGATCATACCGAATTAAAAATTCCTGCGCAAAACTGTGGTACGAAGGGAATGTTACGCGAATGATAGCAAATGACGCGGTCCGCCGCCGCCGCCGCCGCCGCCGCCGGGGGGCTATCGACCCCCCATCCTCAGCGCGCCGTCCTCGCCGGCGCGGCGCAGAGGGCGGACCGTCCCCCCAACCAGCCCCCAACGATGCCAGCCCACAGCAAGCGGCGCCGCGGGGTCACGCTGGAGAGCCCTTATCGTCCGAGAAGCTCTGTTTACCACTCGCAAAACCGGCACTCGGCCGACCGATCTGCCGCTGCTTTTCTGCGCAGCGAATTGTCACCAACGAAGCAACTCTTCCCTCTTAAAATGGAAATGGAAGGATAGGGAAGAGGGTGGGGTTCAACAGGCGAGAGTTCTCGCAAATTTAAAATAATTTCAATCCTCTAAGTGAAGATACTAACAAAGAAGATGTGGACAAATAAAAAAAAAGGAATTAAATGAAGTAACCATGTTCCTAATGGGAATTTCATCCGCGATTTTCAGACTTATAATACTACGCAAACATTAAGTTCTGAATTTTGGAAAAACCCAGCAGGCCTTGATATCTATTATAAAAAATACGATTATTAAACATTTCCGAACTTCTTAACCGACGGACTTCATTTGGCGCTTGCCTCACATGCCCAAAAAAAGATAATTGGAATGCCTTTGTGGCCTCGAAAACGAAGGCGGTGCTCGCGTGAAAGCTGCGCCGCCCGGACGCGAGGGAGGTGGCTGGCCCCTACCGCCTTCGTCTTCGCCTTCCGGCTGGCTTGCCTCATCGGAGGAAAGCGAGTCGCGTTTGAAGGCCCCCGTGCTTTTCTCTCGTGCTCCGTGCCAGCCTCGAACGCGCGGCGTGGGCTCCGACGGAGAACGGGAGATCCTGTTACGGATAATTCGGGCTGGTTTCTAATGCGCACGAAGCGCAACACACTGGTTTCCAGCGCCGTTCAACATTCCTGGCGTGTTCGAGGGAGAAGCTAAATGCACTGCTTTTCGAAGCTTGTTGCGCGAAGTACGTGCTACGGCTTTTTACACACTTATTTATCACAGCACAATATTGTATTGTCCTTTCCTGTGGCTCGACAGCCCGCTACACACCTTGGCCGACCAGCGGTGTCCCAGCCCCTCGGCCATGGAATACGGGGTCCATGTAGATGGCACGAACACCTCCCTCCACGGTATATAATGGTCTTAACTTCAGGGTGGGTTTTCTCATAGTTTTACAGAAATAGATATTGGGATATTTGTAAGAAAAGCACTAGTTATTATTTTGCCCTGGCCCGGAATCGAATTCGGGTTGCGCCGTGGAAAGCGAGCACGCTAACCAACGAGCCACCGAGGACTGATTGATACTTAATAAAATAATAATTAATAATATTATTATATTATTATATTTTATTATTTTTTTTATTATTATTTTTACATTATTACTTTGTATTATCTATTTTTTATTTATTTTTATTATTTTATTAATTTTATTATTATTTTTATTATTATTTATTTATTTATATATTTTTATTATTATTTTATTATTATTATTATTATTTTTATTATTATTTATTATATTTTTATATTTTTTTATTATATTTATTTATTATTATTTTCTACTTCTTTTTATTAATTTTATTTTTATTATTATTTTTATTTTATTTTATTTATTTTTATTATTTATTTATTATTTTTTTATTATTTATTATTTTTTATTATTATTTTATTTTTATTATTAATTTTCTATATACCTTGTATTTAGTATTATTTTTATTATTTTATATTATTATTTTATATTATTATTATTATTATTATATTTATTATTCTTATTATTATTAATTTATTTTTTTATCTATTTTTTATTTTTTTATTAATTATTATTCATTATTTATTATGATTGTTATTATTATTCTTTATTTTTTTTGATTATTATTTTATATATTATTATTTATTATTATATTATTTTTATTATTATTATATTTATTTTATCTATTTTATATTATTATTTTTATTTATTATTATTATTATTTTTATTATTATTATTATTATTATACTGACTATATTATTATATATTTACGTCAAATGGAGTTATATTCTGTTCCAACAATGTTTAACAAAAGTCGAGAAGATCAGGACATCTGCGATTCTCGTGTTCAAATGGCTGATAAAATTGTTATAATCAGTAGGAAGTAAGGGAGCGAATTCAAGAAGACAAATATAATTTCTCCTTCAGAATAATGGCCTCTGCTTAGGTGCCTCGATGCATCGACTGATATCCCCGCAGTGGCGCTGCCAGGGACCTCCAAGGGTTCAGGTCCCGATGGTGGAAAGGGTTTCGACACTAATTACACAGACTGGATGAATTCAGCTAAAATCTGGAGGAAAATTCTAGTAGCCAGCTGCTCTGATCGTGGTTTCCCCGATCAACAGGCAAATGCGGGAGCGGCACTTGGGCAATGAACCCTGCACGATCTTTCCTTTCTCTCCCTTGTCCTGTCCTCACCCCTTCCTTACACATCTTTACACTTACAAGCCCAACGCTACCACACTTGTCGGGAGCTTAGAGCGTGTCCCGACCGGGGCGGTGCCCCATGGTAGGTGATACCTGGTTGGAAAACAAACAAATCGACGTGATGGTCGGGGCTGGATCTTATCCAGCGTTTGAAGATCTCCGATAAATAATGTACTATACTTGCAGGACTACTGACCTTAGCTGTTGACCCGCTGGTAAACTAATTAAAAATACTAGTAAATAAAATATTCTTTTGTTTCCTTGCCATTATACAGTAATTTAACGCCACATCAAGAGAAATGGTTATCGGTCAAGTTAATTATGTCCAAGCTTGTAATGCTTAGTCCAAGCAACTCTACCAGGAGTAGAAATAATCCTTCTATAAGAGCTACGTACTACATATATAGCAGCTACACACAGTCAAGTTAGAGCTATATTATATACCTCAATAGTGTCCGACCCTGTATTTATGTTTTCGATGTTGGAAAAAATGGTTAATAATTTTAATTATTTTAAAATAAACATTATCACGTCACAGTCAGATTCAAACTGTTTTTGACGTACATAAAAAATTAATTTTCTTGTGCGACTAACAGAGAACCAGTTACAAAGCAAATTTTAGTTTGTCATTTTCCGTAACCGAAAGGCTAGGAAAGCTAATACGTCAAATTGTCATTCGAACAGCGAAGCCAGGCAGTGAAACAAGACCTTTACGGGGTAGCCAATTCAAAAAAGTAAAAGTAGGGCTGGTTGTGTTTTTTCCATTGACGATAACCGTAACAAAGAACTGCCAATACTAGTTTATTTTTGAAAGTGGATGACGAATTAGCGGTAAGTGAGAAATATCCTATTAAACAATTTACGATTACATTTAGGTAGATTTTTCTATATTATATTTAGTTTGAGAATCAAGTGAAACTGACGGTATGAATGCATTACGCTATTGGAAATTCATGGGTGATAAACCAAGGCAGAGCAAGACTTATTCAGATCTTCCATACGGTAAGAGGATACTGGAATATTCAGCATTATAATTTGAGCCATTTCGTTCCTCCCTTTGAGAGTAAACTAGTGAAACTGATTCGTAAGTAATGGGGAAACTTCCACAGATTTACGATTAGATCGCTAAGTTTGTTGAAGGAAAAAATCATATTATTATTCTCTTGACAATTGCACGGCAAGTGTACGCACTTATTTTGTTAGGATTTCTCCTTAAGCTTAGCGAAGCATCGATGGGTCAAGCGCACAGCTAAGAGTCAAAATGTCATGTTTTGAGCGTTTGGCAAAAATATACTTGGCATAAAATGCGTTGCAAATTAAGCGGTGGACAGCCTCCGTAATGGTGCATGGTAATGGCGTCGTGGGACCGAAGGCGAAGCATCGCCGTGTCGTTGGACACGCGTTGCGAAGCGCCAGGAGGATTACAATGTTAGAGGTTCTAAATGCGACGTCATTCTGCTCGCTGTCGAGGGAGCCTATTGTGTCTGGTTCATTACGATAAGGGATAAGTGCACAACTTAGAAAATATCAGAACATTGTTTCCAAAGACGTAGGTGTAATATACAAGAAGGAAGCGATGATTTGTACACGTTATTTGAAAACTCTTCAAATTTTATATAGATAGAGACAAGTTATTATTCCACCTTACTACAACTATAGCATATTGTTCCTCTATGACTATAGCACGTAAAGTTGCTGAAGAATATTCAAATGACAATCATTCTAACCGTTTATCTATTTATTATACCTTTTTTTTTTCAATCTACAAACGAAATGCAACAGGCAATGGTAAACAAAGCCAAGAGGGGAATAGTACGAGTAGATTGTAGCGAAAGTGTCATGCCATCGATTTCACGGAAAGCCTACTTGATTCAAGAGGACAGGCACAATACCGCATCCAGCCACCCGCTCTATCTTTACTCTCCCATACATAGTGGCGGATCCAGAGGGGGGCACGGGGTCATGCTCATCCACCAACAAAGGCCTAGACTTTTCGTTGGTTACCCTTCTTCATTTGGCAAAATTCAATTATATATTTATGTTAGAATTATGTAAACATTTAAAAAAATAATATTGCATAGTATCATCTCTGCACTACAAAAATATATTATATATATATATATATATATATATATATATAATACACCACACACACACAAACATAACAACAAATGTTTATTATTATCAAAAATCTATGATGGTCCCCGCCACCACGTGCCGGCAGCGGTGGTAGAACACAAGGCGCGACAGTGCGTGACAGGTGGTCGCGACTCGCCGACGCGCACTTCCTCGCTTCGCGCGCGCGGCGCGCGCGCTGCGCGGCCGCGGGACGAAGCGAAGGGCGAGGCGGGGGCGAGTCGCGCGAGGTCGCGTGACGCAGTGTGTGCGCGCGCCCATGTGCCCCGTGCCCTGCCGCGCCTCCCCAAGTTCACGGGCAGTGAGCGACCGCCACATGAGGCTGTCCAACTATTAAACTGTTGTTTAAGAGACACGCATTCGGCCACACCTACGAGCAGGGGCGGATCCACAGACAAATTTTGGGAGGGGAAAATCAAATGTTTTGATCGAAAGTGTCATATTGTTGGTGTCATGATTTTGTGAAAAGTCGCGGGTTACACTCTGCTCATGCTGCGATTTTATTCGTTTTAATGATTATCCGAAAAGAGGTCACGAAACTTTCGTACAAACAAGTTAAAATTAATAGTAGTTACTGAAAAATTTTCTTTTTGTGCAAGCTTTCAGAAACATTTTTATATGTGTAAGAAAACTTTGTCATCGTATAAAAAACGTGCATTAAAAACGAGCTAATTTCCGTTTCCACAAAGTGACATTGTCTTTTTGTAACAGAACTGATGAAGCAGTTATTTCGCGAACAAAGACTAAGCGTTTTACTGTAAATCCCGTCTGTCTTCTGGACCATCTTGTAATTCTTATTACTAAAATATTTTAAAAAATATTATGTTATTCATTAAAAGTGAGGAATTGTGAATACTAGTATCAGTTTTATTGAACACTGTCGAATTGTCGATGAAGAGAGAACAATGAATATTGAATCAACTTGCGGCAACAAACGAAAACAAAAAATAGACTACATCGCTTATTTTAATTTTATAGGCTTTTTTTCAAACAACGCTTTGACAACTTTTGTTGTTTTAGGTTCATGAACGTATTAACAAGTGAAGTGAAACACATTGAACAATACACCGTAATGAGTTCGAAGAGTTAGCCGATGTCCTTATCGTTAGAAAACACGAAAGATAGCATATTTTGCTTAAGAAATTCTTTAAAATGTCAATTAGCAGCAAAAGAACGAGTGTTTACATTTAGTTCATATCAGCAGTTTCCTTTTAAAAAAATATCAAACGCATAAGCGCACCTGTCCAAAACATAAGGGGGGGGGGCAATTATGTTTCTATAAATTAATTTACGAGAACAAAAATTATACATTTAATGACACAATTAACAAAAAAATTATTTTATGATGAATCACATATCAGATTTGAAAAGCCCCTTTTCCAAAAGCATTAATTCCCTAAAGTAAGAGCTTAAAAAAAGAGGAAAACTATGAATTGATAATATTTAAGTTAATTAAAATGTTTTATTAGTCGGGTTACGAGCTCCTTTTCATAGACGTGCCATCCCCCAGTACGTGCGCCTCTAATCAAACACTGTGTCAAAGAAATGTCATTGCTCTGTCAAAACTTAACACAACCAAACCATCGCTGACGCAACACCACAGACAACACAAAGAAACGAAAGCTCGTCTGTGCCCAGTGACGCAAGTTAATACCAAAGAAATGACTACGTGATTGCATGTAATTAAGTTTTGTGTAATACTTCGGCAGACGTCAAGTTCTGTCATTCTGTCCGCTCGTTGCGTTACTTACCGATGGGTAGATCGCACAGCAGGGCGCAGGCAGCAATCGCACCGGCAGAAGCCCCGGAAATCTTGTTCAACAATAGATGAGGCGCGTATTTCTTGAAGCACACGGCTACCCCCACATGATAAATCCCCAAAAATCCACATCCAGCGAACGAAAGATTCATGGCAAGAAACTGTCACTGTCCACGAAATTAAAGAAAAGGCAATCGCAGCGACGCAGAGAGAAGCGAGGAAGCCCAGCGCTGGGCGGACGGATGCACAGCAAAACCAGCGGTCACAGTAGGTCGCTCGGCCAATTGAACGGCAGTCAGGGCTACACGGCGAGGCCGCCGCTCCTAGTTCCGCAGTTCCTCGGAGTCTCGCCAGAGCCTGACTGCACGACGCGGCTGCGACCACCAGTTTTTAACGGCGACTCGGCCTCCAGCGGCTGTCAGCTGCGCAAACTCGCGATAAGCGGCAGGGGGGCAGGGCCGTGCGGAGCGGCGCGGCGCGGCGCCAGAGTGGGGTGACGTCACCCGGCCGGCCGCCCTCATTGGCTGCCGCGCCGTGGTGTGGTGGCTCGCTCCCTCGGGGGCGGGAGGGGCGCGGCGCGCGTGCTGTGCGGAGGGACGTTTGAATGGGCGCTACCGCGGGTGCTGGCGGTCGGTTGCGCAGCGCTCTGCACTATCGGCCGCACTCAATCAGCACAGCAGACTCCGAAAAGAACGATTTGACTCAGTCGTGGCTTCTCTCTCTCTCTCTCTCTCGGACGGCTTAATTCCGTCCATCAGGAGGGGGCTATTCGATTGAAGTTATTCCAATGAGGAAAATTGTAGGAAAATCACTTTTGCAAAATTTCGTAATAGTAGCCTACACGATCTCACGTTGACAAATTTTTATATAGACTTGCATACTATACAAAATCGTACGGACAGAAATATGACTAAGTACAGTGCAAATAACTATTATATTCTTGTAAATGGTTAAGCACATTGTACGATTATCACAAGGAGCGGATTTTGATGAACTAGAACATTGCCAAAAATGATCCATAAAATGCCCTAAAAACAAAGGAAAAATGACGTAAAAAATTTGAGCAATCCACTTCAAATGAACAACTCAAGCTGTTGAATATGTTACAGATGTAATCGAGGCTTCTTCCTTTTGTTCAAGTAAACTCAGCTTGCAACCTTTGGATTTGGGGTGTTCTTTAAAAGAAAATCTCTGCATTTATTTATCATGAATTTGGCGAAACTGATAATAAACTGACATAAACCTTAGATTACATAGATTCACGACGGCTGACATTACAATATATGCGCAAAGAAATCGAATAAGATTCTGTGGAGAACATTTGTTCAACCTCGTAAATATTGTTTGAAGCAAATACCTTTAAAATGATATTAAAATAGATAAAATCAGAGAAAATGCAGTAGAAATGACCTAAAAGGTAAAAAATGACTTATTAGTCGAAATTTAGAAAAATGCAAAAAAAAAAAAATCTTACAAAAACAGGTCATTTTGTTTCGTCATAACATAAAATGAATTTCTATATTAAACGGCATTGTTCTAAAATGAAAAGAAGAAAATACATTTCATTAAAATCCGCCCTGTAGTTATTTTTTGTGACTTCTACTTGCGTATTCTCTTTCTGAACTTCATACGATAGAAAATATTCGATTTAACGTAGTATTGTGCAAGAACCTTTTTGATGGAAGTTGCAGGTGGCAATGTAAACTAACTAATTATTAAATTACAATTAAACATTTCAAAAAAGACTATGTATTTAGATAACACCAATTTTGCACGAGTACAATTCCGTATATAAAGTAATCAGTATCAATGCAATGGAGTTCTGGAATTTCAACAATTTTGTGATTTTTGTTTACTGTTTCCCCTATAGACGACAAACAGTGCAAAGCATTTTCGTCTAACTCTCATTTCATTTTATTCAGTGAGTTTACCCTTTTACGGACGAGATGGGAAGATTTATCACCGACGCGTACATTCGCGAAGAGAGTTCACGTCAATGCTTACCTCTAGGGACCCCTCCCCCTGCTGCTTTCAAGCCGGGATATCATTTATCTTTAAACAAGGTCTCGGATGCAGTTAGTAGTGACCCGTAATTTGCCTGAATTGTGAGAAAACGCGCGCGTCCTTGGAACAGGAGAGGCTATTGGCTATTGGTTAAGACGCTGTCTGTCGCGTTTGAGGCCCTCGGACCACGCGCGATATCAAACGCGCGTTTGCGCGGAGTGTACGCAAGAGGTAATTGAATTGCTTTCGTCACTCGGTTGTTTAAATGCTAGTTATTTATTGACAAACACGTTTCAGAACGTGTCTTTAACATATGAAGTTTCTTTCAAATCCTCTTGTCAGTAAAGCGAGACTCTTTAGGGTCTCAACTGACTTCATATTTCTCTCGTAATCAAAATCCTTTCGATCCAGGTAAGTTACGTAGTGTATATTGAGCTCCGCATCGAAGTCAATGACAAGCAAGACTGCGGAAGACCAAACTCCTGATGTTTGAACGATGAATGGAGAACCGTTCTCCTTCCATGTCAGTGTTCGTATCACAACGGGACAAAAACACCGAAGCTCAATAAGCAGTTCAAAGGATCGGATTGATTGATTTATTGCTAGTGAGTCATGGCGCAACAACGCCTAAGGTTATTGGTCCCGTAAGTGTAGTGTTTTCCCTCCTCGAAAGGTGGCGGTGGTCTTTTCCCGCTGGATGGCGAGATCCGGCGCCGATCTACCGTCCACTACCGAGGTTTTCCTCAACCAAGAATCCCCACCAGTGGGGCACTCCCCCCCCTCCCAGCCGGAACAAGCTCTTAGCTTCCGACCGGTCTTCGGGCATATGTTGTAGTGTAGTGCATGCGTACGTAGCTAAGGGGTGAGGATAGAACAAAGAAGAGGAAGGAAAGATCGCGCCCGATTCGTGGCCCGTTTGTTTAGGTATTGGTCCGGCATTCACCTGATGTTGATCTGAGAAACCACGGAAAACTACCGATCAGAGTTGCCGGCTGCTAAAATTCTCCTCCAGACAGCGACTGAATTCGACCTAGCTGACACGCTAGTATCGAAAATCCTTCCATCGCTGGGACTCGAACCCGAGTTTTCGAGCGGCGGGCGGGCCATGGTTGGTATGGTGTCGGCCGAAACAGGGTGAGGCGGAGTGGGGCAGGACAGACTTACAGATGGCAGACAAGCGAACTACGAGAACGGGAGTGGGCGGAATAAGGCAGGAGCAACACTTGAAGTGTTCTATAAACAATTTGTTAATTTTTTATTGAATTAGTACAAAAATGTATTGTATTAAATTTAGTGTTTTACTTTCTCGCCTGCCGCTGCTAATCTATATGTAGTAAATTACTTCCTCTAAAACATTATGTTGTCAAAATTAATGTTTTGTGGGTCCTTGATACTGAAAAATCGATTGATTACAAAACGTTTGTCCGTCCGTCTGTATCGTAAGCAGGATTTTCACAAAATTGCTGTTCTCCAATCAAAATGTCTGATATTTTTGATAAGTGCAAAAGTTCAATTTTTGGTCACTACAATATTAAAAATATACGTTTTTCCCTTATGAAAGGTGTTCATGTATAACAGATCTTGGAATAAGGTCATATTCAATTTTTATTATATGTGTACAAAAATATTAGTATATAGAATGTTATCCAGAAACATACATCAAATGTTTCAAAGCACATTAATGGCTGCGTACATAAAAGCTGTTTTAGTTACATTAAAAAATGTATCAAATGATTGTTACGTAACCGTCAAACATTTACAAATTCGACGGTCAAATGATTCGACCTGGTGATACAGACACTTGGAACACGTAGCTGCCGGTTTGAATTTCACACTAAGCGTGAACGTTTGAAGGTGTGTACGTAGCGAGGGGGGCGTTCCGAATCCCTGCTGCTTTGCATTATGCCCTACACCTTCCATTCTTTCTGGTTTGACAGGAAAGTATGTGAGATGTGTTTGTAAATAAGGTACTGGTAATGGTATGATTGGTGTATTGTACTGGTAAGTCAATTAGGTGCCGATAGCACCTGAGACGATGGTAGAAGGGGAAAAAAATCATCTCAGCCGCAAGAAAATACGAAAAAGAGTACAAAAAGTCTGTGCCATTCTGTTACCCCACTAGTTTGAGTAAATATGGAGGATTTATTCGCAACATTCAACACGATTTTGTGATTGTGATTTTGTGTAATAATGCCTATCTTTATTCGACATTGGCATGCGTCAATTTTTCATATTCTTAGAATTAATCACTTCAATGATAGAACCGTCTAAAACTAATCCACTTATTATGGACACTAGTTAGCTAGGTCGAATTCAGCCGCTGTCTGGAGGAGAATTCTAGCGGTCGGCTACTCCGATCGGTACCTTTTCGTGGTTTCTCAGATCATCAGGCGAATGCACTACCGCAACAAATGATCACAGACTGCGCGCGATCATTCCTTCCTCATCCTTGTTCTACCCTCACCCCTTACGTACATACAATTATACTCTCACACATGTCGGGAGCTTAAAGCTTGGCTGGGGCCGGTGGTGGGAGATACGCGGTTGGGAAAACGGACGAAACTAAATGCCAACACTTTCATGTTTACTTGGACTGAAAATCAATCTGGTCGAGGATCTAATGAGTATCTACACTGCACAGCTTCCTAGGAATCGTAGAAAAAATATTCTAGAAAATAGTCCTACTCTTCTTCTTACTTTTCGACTCATCCCAGTATGCTAGCAGCTAGAACAACCTTAGAAAAAACGGTGTTATGCATTTAAAAGTATATATATATATATATATATATATATATATATATATATATATAAATACACAAGAATCAATTAAAAACAAAAATTCCAAATTTTACACGAAGAAACGTCATTTTAGCTAAACGAGTACCTTAAGGATGTTATGCACTGAGCGGACGTGAAAGAGCTTTAACATTTTTTGACAAACCAATGATGTTTAGTTTTGTAAAAAAGTTATCATTCATTGTTTATTTCAAGTTTTATTTTTTCTTTCTTTACAACTTAAATATGCAAGTTTTCTTTGCACATTTGTCGCTAGTTTTCAGTTTTCTTTAATGAGTTACCTACTCAATGTTCCTGAAAAGACAGGAAACATTTTTTAATTAAAAAGTATAGATTCTTCAACGAACGTATAGTGGTTATTATTCACGAGTTGATTTTTATGACACGAGTGATGTAAGAGCGAGTATCCCAATTTCTACAAGGGAATAATAGCCATTATGTGCGAATACTGTACATTCTCTACGACCTTGAAATATCCACGATACATCTTATTAGCGATATTTGCAATTTAGAATACGCTTTTATTTTATTTTCTTATGTATGTAAAATGCGTTCCTTAACATGAGTAAGTCTTCCAAAAAATAGACGGTTTTTGCTGTTGGGAAATGTTTGTAAAATAACCCAAGAAAACTTATCGTTAAATGCATTTACCATATTAATCCTCCTCCTCTCGAAAAA